TTTTTCTTCTTCATTTGCAAGTTGATGAATATTAATGAAATTTAACTCCGGAGGCAAAATGATATACAAAGAAAGTTTTCCATAAATTCATAAAGCAAAAGAATTACCCATCGCTATATATTACACTTGAATACAGTTTTGCCGTATATTTTACATGTTTTGTTTGGATTTTTTTTATGATTAAAAACCAATCTTTTTTTTTTATGAACAATATTTTAGAAAATATTTATCTATGTTGTGTGTTAATATATACAACATAATATTGTGCTTATAAGACTTATGACTATGAGGATAAAATTTTACTCATATAAAATCACATCTATGTAAGAGTTAGCGGAGAATTTGTAGTTACCACTCCCGTTTTCCACAAAATAGAACATAAGAATCTTGAGTATTAATCTTAAAAAACAAAGATCAACTGATATGACAAATAATAACATAAGCGTAGGACTGAGAGGGTCAGAGCTATATCAGAATGTGACTCCCCCGGTCTTGTTAGAGGTATCTGCAAATTTGAATTTTCTTTTCCACCAAATAAAACAAAAGAATCTGGACTTAATCAAAAGCGATCCGATTACGATTTCCATAGAATGTCAGAGAGAGTTGGGCAAGTAAAGTATGTCTTGTAACAAGGCAGGGTTTATTCATATTCATATCACACTTACATGTTCTCGACCTGATATGCATGTAATATTTGCCACTGTACGTAAAACGCACCCCTTTTCCCCGAAATAAAACCAAAGATATGGACTTAATCAAAACCGATGCTATTTGGATTTCCATAGATTGTCAGAGACGGTTTGTCAACTAGTTTGGTGAAAATTCGGCTAAGCAAGCAAAATATGTCTTGTACAGAGCCAAGATTTATTCATATTCATATCACACTTACATATTCTCGTCCTTATATGCATGTCATATTTGCCACTGTACACTGAATACAAATACATTTTCATTAATTCTTTTTTATGAAAAGGAGCCTATTTTAAGCACGTTCATCGATTTGACACCCTGTAGTTCATGTTTTTTGGGAGTTCCTCGAAAATTATAACACATTCCTTCTTTATTAGCAAAATCGCCAAGTGACGGGTGCCACATATGAAACAGTATCTGCTTACCCTTCTGGAGCACCTGAGATCACCCCTTTTTTGAGGGTTTCGTGTTGCTCAGTTTTTGGTTTTCTATATGTTGCGCTTAATATACTGTTGTTTGGCTTTTGATCTTATTTCTCTCGTTTATTTTGGCTCATGAGTTTTTGTCATGACATTGTCAGTTTGGTTAAGATTTTTATTATCCCTTTTGTATCTTTCACCTTCTTTTATCCATTTTTGTGTATTTTTTTTTCGATTCTCCTCTCCCCCTGAACAGTATAATAGATAGATAAATAAAAACAGAAACCCTTTTCAACAAAAGGAGATCTACAAGTAACTCGACGTGACCGAAATTGTAAATTTCTTCCTCATTATACATATTGCCCTTAGGGTAGATCGGGTGTCTTCCGCCATCTTAGGGAGCTACCATTTGATTTTTATTGGGGCTAGAATGAAATTTGAAGAAAGGCAGGACAGGAGTCTTAAGTAAAAAAAAGGCAGGATGAGCAACTTGGCAAAAAAAAGGCAGGATGACAATTTATGTAAAAAAAAAAGTCAGAATAAACTAATAAAAAAAAAATGCACGACCGAATAGAGTGAAAATAAAAAGGCAGGACAGAGATTACAACTAAAAAAAAAGGCAGGACAAAATTTTTCGTCCTAGCACCCTCCCCCCCCCCCCCCCCATAAAAATCACATGGTAGCTTCCTTAGATTCTCATATAGCTCAACACAATCGGTCTAGATCTAAAAAAATATACACATTTTGACAGAGGAATGTTATTCATATGTAGTACTTTTCATCTTGATGAAGAAAATTATGAGATTTATCTGATTAAAACGACTATTTGTTTTTGAATACAGAACGTTCAACTTTTCCATATAGGGGAGATAACTCGGATAACATTATTTTTTTGTCGTTTTTTTTTTGCCATGGCATTGTCAGTCTGTTTTCGACTTATGAGTTTGAAATCCCTTTGGCATATTTCGTCTCTAATGATGGAATGTGTAGGGACTTTATCTATTTTGTTTTGTAGACAGAAAACGATTCTCGTGATCCCAATTTTTATTTTTATTTTCTAACATAGAGTTTTCCATATAATATAGTTTATACAAAATCTGACAATACTGCATAACCTGTAGCTTGCAAAATGCTCTGTGGCCCAAACTTTTTATTATGTTTTTCAAAAAAAAATAAACTACATTTTGGCAAATAATTAAAAAAAAATTACCGATTTAAATTTAGACCACACAGAGAGAGAGAGAGAGAGAGAGAGAGAGAGAGAGAGAGAGAGAGAGAGAGAAAACATATCTACAAATTAATCAAAGCAATACCAAAATAATTCATGGACTTTAACAATTTTTACAGATTTTTATTTTTTTTCTTTTTCTTTGAAAACACATATAGATAGAGAGAAGCTGCAAAGAACCAAGAAAATCACTATGAACAAGAAAATAAGTGACGGAAATCATTAATTGGCTTCTTATTATAAGTGATAGGGGTCATTGTTCATTAATGACTTTACCAATTTGAAAAAGATAAAATATTCTCCGAGTGGATATATACATAAACCTGGGTACTATCTTACTTGGTGCTGGAAAAATGGTTGGCACTGCTGTAAATGATGTATTTTTTATTTGAAAGTTGACGATTTAGACTGGAGGCTCTAGGTCAAATTTCATTAGGTTTCATATAGACTTCATGTATGAGCGAAATGTATGCAACATAATCTACCATACTTTATGTTTTGGTTGGCCCCATCATGCAGTAGGATTCTTCAACCTATCAATTCTTTTTTGTTTTATTTCGTGGAAAAGAAAATTCAAATTTTCAGATACCTCTAACAAGGCCGGGGGTGGGGGTCACATTCTCATATAGCTCTGACCCTCTCAGTCCTACGCTTTACCGTATTATTTGTCATATCAGTTGATCTTTGTTTTTTAAGATTAATACTCAAGATTCGTATGTTTTATTTCGTGGAAAACGGGAGTAGTAAATACAAATTCTCCGCTAACTCTTACATAGATGTGATTTTATATGAGTAAAATTTGACCATCACAGTCATAAGTCTTATAAGCACAATATTATGTTGTATATATTAACACACAACATAGATAAATATTTTCTTAAATATTGTTCATAAAAAAAGTCTGGTTTTTAATCATAAAAAAAAATCCAAACAAAACATGTAAAATATACGGCAAAACTATATCCAAGTGTAATATATAGCGATGGGTAATTCTTTTGCTTTATGAATTTATAGAAAACTTTCTTTGTATATCATTTTGCCTCCGAACTTGCAAATGAAGAAGAAAAAATCCTGGGGATTTGTCCCTCATTCTTTTCCATAGAATTGCAGTTTCAATTCACATAATTCTGTAATGTTTTACGCATCATTATTGTCTTTCAATTTAACATAAAACGATCTAATATTTGTACTGTATTCGTTGTCAACACCAAACATCTTCAATTCTGCACAAGTATGTCATCCTATCATTGTTTTATTTTGACTTTACGTTCTGTTTTTATAACTTAACGTTTTACTGTTTCAAGTCAAGACCAAACTTCTTCAAATTTACATCGTGTAGTTTCAAGTCAACACATTGTATGATAAGCCTCTCGTGACGTCATAATGATATACCATCGTGCTATCTTAGCTCAACAACACGTACTTTCAACTGTACTTAGTGTAGTTTTGAATGAGCATATTGTATGGCAAGCCTATCGTGATATCATTATGATATAACATCGTGCTATCGTAGCTCAACATCACATACTTTCAACTGTACGTTGTGTAGTTTTAAATGAGCATATTGTATGGTAAGTCTATCGTGACATTCAAATGATATAACAACATGCTATCTTAGCTTAACATCACTAGTTTCAACTGAAATCATGTAGTTTTAAATGAGCATATCGTGTGGTAAGCCTATCGTGACATTCTAATGATATAACAACGTGCTATCTTAGCTTAACACCACGTACTTTCAACTGTACGTCGTGTAGTTTTAAATGAGCATATTGTATGGCAAGTCTATCGTGATATTATTATGATATAACAACGTGCTATCTTAGCTTAACATCACCTAGTTTCAACTGAAAATCAAGTAGTTTTAAATGAGCATATCGTGTGGTAAGCCTAACATCACGTACTTTCAACTATACGTTGTGTAGTTTTAAATGAGCAAATTGTATAATAAGCCTATTGTGACATTATAATGATATAACATCGTGCTATCGTAGCTTAACATTACAAAATTTCAACTGTACGTCCTGTAGTTTCAAGTGAGCATCTTAGCTTATTTACGTTGCATAGTGTTGTTTTAAGTCAACAAATTGTATGGTAAACCTTTCGTTTCAATATAGTGGTGTAGCATCGTGTTATCTGAACTTAACATCATGTACTTTCAACTGTGCATCATGGTGTTTTAAATCAACAGATTGCATGATAGACCAATCGTAATATCACAATGATATAACATCGTACTATCTCAGCTCAACATTTAATAATAACAAGTCAGCACCAAACATTATAGCTATTCATTTTATTTGTTATCATAGCTATCGATGTGGATGACTGAGCAGTATCAATCTGCAAGCTAACATCATGCAGCGTCAACTTCACATCATGTACTTTAAACCCCACGTTACGTGTGTTTGGCATATCATCACAACATTGTGACTTATCATTATACTATCACAACTAAAGCACTTGTCATTGCAAGTCAACATTGCGCAAATTCAACTTAGCATATTGTAATTTACAGTTAGCATTTTGATGACTCAATTCAACATCACGCTGTCTTAACTTTACATTTTAAGCTTCAGCATAACGTTTTGTAAATCTCTAATATATGACAGCTGAGGCTTTCCATAGTTATTCGTCCTTTTGTTTTGTGTCGACTTTCTTTCTGGGCCGACTTGTTCCCTATTCCTAATTAACATCCGGCAATTTCCACGGCTAGACTGTTCTGACTCGATATCAGATGCACACTTATTGTAAGTACACTATACATGTAGCTAATAAATTAATTACCCAGTTATCAAAAGAATTAATGGTAACTATTATTTACGGTAGGATACAAATTTTATACTTCTATTGAGTTTAAAAGGTGAAAATCCACATAACATGAGAAACATGCATGACCTTGACCTGTATGATTTACGCCGCATATTTAATAAATTATACACTTGTACGTGACCCAATGAGGACATGCTTGTGTTTTATGATTTATTTAGGTTTTCTTTTCATGGAACATGTTGAACATAGTTAACCATGGATGGGATTAATGTTTTTTCTTCAGGTTGGGAACAAACCCCTAATATGGGGTTGAAAAATTAAAAAAAAAAGGGTTTCAGGGAGATGTTAAGAGACAGTGTGTGGTTTCCAAAGAAGTATTTTGGGCATACAGATGCATACCTGCCAACCTCTGAAACTTTCAAAGAGGGAGATCTGCCCCTCAGCTATGATAGCTGAGAGGGAGATTTTGCTTGAACGACATTTCCAACATGTTCAAGTTAAATATATGACCTGTCTACTTATTTATCTACAAAACACCAATAACAGTTAATAAATATACTTTATTTCTTCAATTCATGGTTATAATCTTTAAAAGTTTTTTTTTTTTTTTTTGCCTTTTTCAATACCTCTGAGTCTCATAAGAAGAATAAGAATAAGTATCATCATTCCTGGGACTATTATACTTTCAATATTTGAATTTTGTTGTGAGTCTCACACTAAGCATGCTTTCAAACGTCGTACAGACCATCAGAAGAAACCGAAAAGTTGATTGAACATGATGTGCAAATGAATATTCATTGCGAAGTGTTGAAGTGAACTTGGTCGTAAAAAATGAAAATCTTTCATTCAAATTCTGCTTGACATTTCGATTTGCAGCTATCTATTTCTTCTTTTTTACACTGCTGCTTGGTCCAGACAAAGATCTCTATCTTGTTGGAGTTGGCATAGCAGAAATGAATTTCGATTACTTATAAATCGAACGTAAAAACTACTGACCAAAGTTTTCAAATGATCGCTGATTGTTTATTTCTATTGACAGTAATGAAAAAGCCAGAGAATTACGAACGCGAGTCATTCTAGGTTAAATTGGCCTGGGGTCCTGGCTCACTGCTCGACAGTGGCTTATCGATGAAGTATTAGATTGGGTCAGGATGCCAGGCTATAGGTTAAATATATCCTAAAGCGGGAGATTTTATACTCCCAAGCTGGAGCGGACCGGCAAGCATGAAATTTCCAGAATTTAGTCATTTGCACGGGAGACTCCCACTCAAAACAGGAGGGTTGGCAGGTATGCAGATGTACAGATGGGGTATAGAAATATGTCTAAGGTTCTTTGCCTGAGGATTATATCTCCCCTGAACAAGGGTGTCTGTTTGGCTGGAGGGATGAAAAAATGAATATGCAGCACATCTGCTCAGGACATCTTTTACATGTACATATATCTGTAAAATTGAGAAAATTACCAGTCTTCCTGGAAACCAGACCTGATTAGTGACTCTATCAGATATTTTAATAGTGCATGCTTGGTAGAAGTATAAGTATTTTTTTTTATCTTGGAAATATGAAGTACATGTACATTAAACCATTCTTATTGTTAACATCTGTCAGGGTTCTCACTAGGATATATTTATGGTGATCAGTACTGGGACTGGTCACATTGTCAAATGGTGAATCAAAGCTGCCAATTCTGATGAGTCCATAGTAAGTGATGGTGTTTTTTATATGAACCATCTTATTAGGCTTATTGCGCTTCCTCAAATGAAGGGAATGATTCTTTAACACCATGAACACTGACAAGTATGGTGTTTCCTCATTGATGAAGGCTGTGCAGTAAATTGTAGTTGTTTGCATCCTTGCCCTCATATCTTCTGAGAATAGTTGTCTCATTTGAAATCATACCACATCCAAATTTATTATGTCATACATCGTTTTATATATTAATAACTTATAAGTGCAACTGTTGAAAGTCATTTGAAAGTACAATGATTTTAATCAAATTCTTTCATTTTACTACAATGAAAAATGCTCCAAATCCATAACAATGGAAATGTCGAAATATAATTTAAGTCCTTCAGATCATAAAAATAGATAAATATTGCATCTTATTTTTTAACCTCAGATTGTTTCAAGTTTAGATTTTTTTATTGGACATGTTCTCCTGCTAATTACATCAAACTGTATTTAGTTCTAATCCCCCTAATCACCTATTTTGTTTGTGTTACTTACATTTATATATAATTTAATTAACCATTTGAATATAATGGGTTGCATTAATGCAATCATTTGATAATTACTTGGCTTCTTTGACACAAATTGCCTGTAAAAGGTAAAAAAGTGTAACAAAAATACCAAATTCCAAGGGAAACTCAAAGGGTAAGTCCATAAAAACTGACAAAATCTAACATTATCAATCATTGGAACGAGTGAAAAAAATAATGTATGTAAACAGTTTTCAATCTTCTAGACATTTATCCAATAAGTGTAAGCATTATGCATAGCAATGATTGAAAAAAAAATTCTGGTAAAAATATTGAGAAGCATGTTTTTAGCTACTTTTTGATAGCGGGGGGTAATTCTGATGAAAATAGGACTCCGCTAGTGTTATCAGGACATGTCAGCTGGATGCACAGGTTTATGAAATGGCACATCAAGACAGAAAACCATGTGTCTAGGACGTGTATACACACCTGCATTCCTGTTTTATTTTATCAAGGAAATGAAACAGTGATGTTGATTATAAATTCTACTCTGAAGGTTATTGAATTTTTCTGATTCATATAAGCAACCAGCATGGAACATAGTTAAAAATTTTAATTTACAAAATATGATTTAAAAAATACTGTATCTTTTGCATTAAAATACATCATGATCAGAGTTTTGATGACATGGAGCCAATATGACTTTTTTCTGTATTGGCCTAGGCTGAAAATATGTATTAATATTAATTATATATATATAACAGTGCAGGGTCATCAGTATAGCACATGTTGATTCATAAGTTTTTGAGATGATATTTAGTAAAGTCATCTATAAAAAGACCCTGGTATGACAATGTAGAACATTTAAAAAGGAAAACCAAAGGCCTGATTTATAATACAACAATGATTGAAAAAAACAAAGTGGTAGACATCTTATAATCATCTACCAATGACAACCATGGCCACTGCATTACAGTTTCCTTGCTTTGGACAGGCACATACATGTACATTTAAAGATTTGTTTTCATATATGTTGTATACATGTACAAGTGGTATTATTTATTAGAACTACAGGTCATGTTATTTCTATATCTCTCTCAATACACAAATTGATGTCAAACATATACAGATCCTGTGTCAACTTTTCACTTACATGAACCTTACAATCAACAGTCACAACTGGTGTGTCATAATTTGTTGTTACAGGTTATCTGCTTAACAGATGGGACAAAATGATCCTCAAAGTTATTTAGTTTGTAATTAGAATTGGTCTGTTGGCATTTGGATTTTAATAGATTTAACACGCCTTAACCAGAATCCTGTATATAAAAGCAGTTAATCCATAGGCTTAATGTTTAATGCATACTTTCATTTAATTTAATTCCACCCCTATCCCCATAAGGACCCTCTTATCTTTGCCCTTTAACACCAAAGACATCTGAAACATATACATGTATGTCCTCAAGTGAGAAGGATGGAGATATATCTTGAGTAGGTACATTTGTACTGGGTAAAATGATAAATGAGTTATCTTTCTTGGAACAAAATTATGGTATTGCTACACTCAGACATGTCAGAGACTCCAGTGTGTCAAATTTTTTCTTCTTCAATATTTCTGCATGTTTTGAAACAAATGAATTGTTATACACAGTAATAATGAAACATGGAACTATTAACAGCATCTTATAATACCAGAAACTAGCAAATCTTTGAATAAATCGGGCAATATATTGAATGACAGCCACCCACATAAAATTTTGAATTGAGCCAGAAACTATTTCATATGTCAGCATTATTGATTTGGTTACATTTGTGTAAGTCTCCTGAGTTGTATATATATATATATATATATATCACAAGTGTATCATGCTTCCAACATTGCTATCAGAAATGATGTGCTTAATTAAATAAGACTAAAATCTATAACACATGATGGTTAATTGATTTTGGGTTGGTGCCAGCTGGAAAAGTTAAATAGTCAATAAATGCTTTCACAGAGAAAGGTACTATTAAATGTTTTATTAATGTTACTATGTCTGGGTTAATTATTTAGGATTTTCTACTGTTTCTTTGTATTATCTTTGTGAAACGGGGTATTATAGTTTTATACCACATCTTCTTATTTTTATAATGTCATTAAAATATGTCTTTATTATCAGAGTAGCATCATGACCATGTTACATTGTACTTGTTAATGTTAATCCCAGTACAATCTACATTATCAACAGTGATTGAAAATGACCTTGCCTTGGTTAGAATAGGTCACTAAGTATAACTGTACATGTACACATTAAATGTAATGGTCAGAATAGGTTATTAAGTAGAACTGTACATGTACAAATAAAATGTAACATAATGTAAGAGATGAAGAGAAAGCTTGTCTATTCATGTACATGTGCAGAATGTAAGCTAAAAAATATTTAAACTTTTTCTTTTTTGTGGTTGGGAGAGGAGTTCAGTTTTGGAAAATAATATATGTATTCTATTTATATTATATTTAAAAAAATTGATAAAAGTTTTTATTTTACAAAATCATATGCATATCATACCTTTGTCTACCCATATCTGCTGAAAACATTCAGTTTAAATTTTGCAAAAATTGATATTCTTCAGCTGATAGCTGACATGAGTTGTGATATAATGACTGCATGAACAAAAATGAAAACAACATGTTACAAATTTTCATGCATTCGAAGCGCTTTTCTGGATTTACCTTCATCAGGAACGCTCAAAGCCGAATATTAATTATTTAAAGAGCTATATTTAACCAAAAGGACCTAATTAAAATAGTCAAATCCATCTAAGGGCAACTTTTCCTGAGGGAGTTAAAACCTTAGTTTCTTTATAATAATTTCAAAATTTATAAACATACAATTTTAGAAAGGATTGTTATAAATTATGCCAGTACTGAAGTACTGACTACTGAGCTGATGATGCCCTTGGGGACTGATCGTTCACCAGCAGCAGTATCGACCCAGTGAAAAGACAAGACTATTTGTGACATACATGTATTTTTGAATGTTATATTTCTCATTCTGCTGAAACCTGTGATATAAATGACTACATGGATCAACAAATACAGAAGCTTATTATTTATTTTCAATAGATAAGAGTTATACATATATCCTTTCTGAAGCTGCATCATCAAACAGTTGTTTACAGGGAATGGGTTTATGTTGCCTGTCTAAAGACGTCTGTTCTCAACCAAATGTTATAAAACTTATACACAATGCTAATTACCATAAAACAAAGATTAAGTTAGAAATTGGGTGGCATCACTTTCACCATTCTTGAGTTATGTCTCTTTATAAATGGAAAAATCAGTACTTCAGTTTGCCTCAACCAAATGTTATGAAACTAATATGCTGTTCTTATTACTACAAAACACATATCAAGTTCCAATATGGGTGGCATCATTTTCACAGTTGTTCTGGAGTTATATTCCTTTATGCATGTTATGAATGGAAAAAGGTTTGAATTACATATAGTACATTGACTCTTGCATTTTTACAAGCAGGGGCTTCTGTGTCCCATGTACACATTCTTCTTTTACTTACTATATACTTTAATACAAGTGTACATGTATGTGAGTCCTGATTGTTCCTCATCTTATTAAAGAGTGGTTTTTATACGACCACAAAAAAATTTTAGGGATCGTATAATGGTATGATGTCGTCGTCCGAAGACACATTGGTTTCCGGACAATAACTGTAGTTTAAGTGAATGGATCTCTATGAACTTTTTTAAGAAGGTTCAGTACCACAAAAGGAAGGTTGGGATTGATTTTGGGGATGATGGTTCCAACCATTTAGGAATTAGGGGCCCAAAAGGGGCCAAAACAAGCATTTTTCTAGTTTCAGGATAATAACTTGTGTATAAGTATTTCGATTGCTCTGAAATTGTACCACAATGTTAAATACCACAAGTAGAAGGTTGGGATTCATTTTAGGGGTTATGGGACCAACAGTTTAGGAATTAAGGGCCAAAAAGGGGCCAAAAACAAGCATTTTTCTAGTTTCCAGACAATAACTTGTGTGTAAGTGTATGGATCTCTCTGACATTGTACAACAAGGTTCCATATAACAAAGGGAAGGCTGTGATTGAGTTTGGGGTTAATTGCCCCAAACATGTAGGAATTAGGGGCCAAAAAACGGCCAAAAACAAGCATTTTTCTAGTTTCCAGACAATAACTTGTGTTTAAGGGTATGGATCTCTCTGAAATTGTACTACAATGTTCCATACTACAAAGGAAAGGCTGGGATTGAGTTTTGGGGTTATTGCTCCAAGGGGGGTTTCAAAAAGTTGGGTAGGGGGGGGGGGATTTTTTTTTCCAATTTTTTTAAGGGATTCATATTTTTTTTACAAAATTTTTCAAATTGCAAATTTTTGAAAAGTTTCAAGAAGAAATCTTCAGTTGCACAGTATTGCGCAATAGATTTGTAAGATTTTTAACCACATTTATTTTGTGTCAGAAACCTATATTATGTCAAAAATTTGATCACAATCCAAATTCAGACAATATCAAGCTTGAATATTGTGTCCAAATTTGCCCAAACTGTTCAGGGTTCGACCTCTGCGGTCGTATCAGGCTGCGCTCAGTGAAGCATTTTATTATCTTGTATTAAGGAGTGGTTTCTTGTTGTATTTAGCAGTGGTTTCTTGTCTTATTAGTTAAGGAGTGGTTTCATGATGAAAAAATTATCAATATGTGTATATAGTTGTATTTCCTAAAAGTTAAGGACTACGGATACAATGAAATAGTTTAATTTAAATTGTTCACAAACATTGTACTTTTAACCATATTTTAACAACTAATCTATTTGACATCAAAATAAATTATTCATTTATAACAGACTTGGAATTCTTCCACATAGTCCTCATTCCATTACAGTATTATTTATCCTCTGTCACCTAGATTTCTTCACCTGGTTAATTTTCAACAATGATTGACCTATAAATAGATTTAATTAACTTGACTTATGGATAAGGTTTTTAAATATTTTGATATATTGGTCATTATAGGTCAGTCAAGGTTAGGAATTTTATTATATCTAGGATCTTCAGGTCACTTCAGGATATTTTAATAAGATAAAAAAAAAATGGCACTGCTATAAATATTTATTATACATTTGTACATCAACAAGAATAGCTGTAAGTATATCCCATTAAAGTTCAAGGTAATTCCTATTTACATGAAAACTAGGATTTTTGTTCAATTGTTAAAATTAGTTACCTGTACATTTATATATAATATCTATGTTTTAAGGTGAATTTTATAAGAAAATGTTAAAAATTATAAGTGTTTTACAGCATAAGACAAACTTGTGGTAAATACTTAACCTATATATATTAAATGTGTCTAACCTATATATTAAATGTGTCTAACCTATATATTAGATGTGTCTATATTAAAAGTCAATGTAATCAATATTCCACAACTGAGAAATAAAATGTCAAATGTTGTTCCTTTTATATTCAAAATCAAGAGACATTTTCCTAGGGACTTAACTATTTTTTTAAACAATGAATCTATAACGATCTGTTCTGGGTTTTTTTTCTGTGTACTACCAGGAATGCAGGAACATATATATATAAGGTTAGATATACTGTTCCCAGGTACTACATATATGAAATTCAGCTACCTGTGTATTAGGGAAATCCATTTAGAAATATCAGGAAGTAAGAAGCCTAAAAATTCGTGTGAAGTTTATACATCAGTTCTGAGAACAGACATTGTAGCAACAATATTGATTTTATATTGTTTTTCTGACATTACATAATATTATAATCACTTTAATGAGAAGAAGGAAATTCAGTTTGGCTGATATTCAAAATGTTATTTACTTGCACTTGTGACATACAAAAATACAAAATTGAAAGCTTAAATTCTATTGAAATATATTTACAAATTGTTGAGATTTAAATCTAATATTGAATTGGATTTAATAAAAAGGAATGGCTGATATAATAGCTTATAATACATTCCATTCATTTGATAAGTATCACACAAGTTTAGATTAGTAGTTTTTATGGTAGACGTTGTTACAAGACATTTTTGTACTCTCTCTTCCAGCTTTTGAAATTTAAATACTCAGATCTACTAGCAATTTGTGGAGAAGTTGTTGTTAAAAGTAAAGATAAATAAAGGAATGAACGATTGGCGTCCTTTTCTGTATGGAGGAGTTGCTTCCATGGTAGCTGAAAGTGGTATGTATGCTTTGTTATTTTGAATAGTTTCCTCTTGAAAACAAATGTTTAAATGTCCAATTTTTTCATGCAAAAAAAGATTTTCACCAGTGGCATTGCGTCATTTGTGATATATTTGTGACATCATAAACATGATAAACATATGTGTACATTGTAGGTGAATTTTGTTTGAACATGATAAACTTCCTATAAATTATAATGGAGGATTTTAAGAGTCTGTGCAACATCTATTATGGGAGAAATTTCCATAAATCAAGAGAGTTAATATGAAACTGCTGCATGTTTGTGGGTAGGAAATACATAAGTTGTAATTACTGTAAATTTAGAAATTATTGCGATTTTTGAAGAATGGACTAAAATGCCAGATTAATTATTGCGATTTTAGAAAAATATGCCTACAGATTCATGTATCAGATATCAGAATGTGAGTTCTTATTATTGCGGTACTCATCCAGTCACCTTATTAGCAATAACAAAAACCTCGCCACAATTTCTGAATTTACAGTATTTATACTTTAAATGACTTGTTTCAGGTACATTTCCAATTGATACAACTAAAACACGTCTACAGATACAGGGTCAGATAATTGACAGAAGTCTTACAGAACTAAAGTACCGGGGCATGTCCCATGCTTTCTTCAGAATATTTAAAGAAGAGGGATTACAGTCACTATATTCTGGGTAAACTAATTTATTTCATCTACAAACAGAGAGTACAAAAATGTCTGAACAAGCAATATGTTTAGTGTCAATAGAAGAGAGAGTACAAACATGTCTGAACAATCAATTTGTTTAGTGTCAATAGAAGAGAGAGTACAAACATGTCTGAACAATCAATGTGTTTAGTGTCAATAGAAGAGAGAGTACAAACATGTCTTAACAATCAATGTGTTTAGTGTCAATAACAGAGGGAAATATATTGGTATAATAAAATTATTGAGATTGAGACTGAGACTGAAAAAAATTAACAACCTTTTACAATTTTAAAGTAGGGAGCCCTAAACATACATTTAAAAAAAAAAATTAAGGAGTGTACTAATTTTCCTCCTTGATTAGGTTTATCTGTGGTGAGAATGTACTACATTATTCAATTATCAGTTAATGTTTGTATAAAAGGGATTGTCAATCAGTGACATTTAATTAAATTACCAAAATAAAGGTAATAATTTTTTCTTATCTGTTTTACCAAAATAAAGATACTACTTTTCCTTAATTTAACTAATCTAATTTCGCTGATAATAGTACTATTAACATTTGTATATTATTTGTATGATTGATTTATGATATTTGATAAATCTCCATTTAACCTTGTTCATAAACTATTTTAAAAATTGTATAATGAATTTATCTAATAATAAGGCATTATTTCAAGAATTTTCCTTTCTATAATCAAATACTTGTTTACTAATTAATTGTGACTTTTTGTCTTAGTACAATCATTTGACAATGTAGTAAATAAGTGACTTGCTGTCCTGTGTTTATATATACATGTATCTGTCCATTTACCCAGTAATTGACCAGGTAAGGATTGGTTTTATATAGTAATGTCCTATTAAAATTTCAATCAACCAGTATTTGCTAGTATTTCCCGGTTTTTGTTTCGCCTGCGACTTTCCTCGCAGTATGCGAGACATAAGTATTACTATCCGGCTGCAGCGTATAAAGCTTTATATTTCAGGTAGATTGATTGATTTGATTTTTGGTGTTTTAACGCCACTTTTAAGCACCGCTTTTGGGCTATTTTGTGGCGGCCAGTTTTTATTGGTGGAGGAAGCCGGAGTGCCCAGAGAAAACCACGACCTTCGATAGGAAAACTGACAATCCTAGTCAATTAAGATTGGAGTCGAGTGCACCCGCACGAGCCGGGTTCGAACTCACAACCTCAGTGTTGACTGGCTAGTGATTACAGTAGTAACTACTTAGACCACTCGGCCACCGAGGCCCCTCAGAAGGTAGAAGAACTGGATACTTCATATCTTGTATGCAGAGTTCACCTGACCTCGACCTCATTTCATGGATCAGTGATCAAGTTTAAGTTACATGATTAGGTCCGTTTCTCAAATACTATAAGCAGTAGGTCAACTATATTTGGTGTATGGAATGATTGTAATGGGTACATGTCAGTCTGGCAGGTTTCATCTGACCTTGACCTCATTTTCATGGTTCATTGGTCAGTGTTAAGTTTTTGTGTTTTTGTCTGTTTTTCAAGTACAATAAGCAATAGGTCAACTATATTTGGTATATGAATGATTGTAAGGTGAACATGTCTGTCTGGCAAGTATTATCTGACCCTGACCTCATTTTCATGGTTCATTGGTCAATGTTAAGTTTTTGTTTGTTTTTCAAGTACTATTATAAGCAATAGGTCAACTATATTTGGTGTATGGAATGATTGTAAGGTGTACATGTCTGTCTGGCAGGTATCATCTGACCTTGACCTCATTTTCATGGTTCATTGGTCAAATGTTAAGCTTTTTTGTTTTTGTCTGTTTTTCAAGTACTATAAGCAATAGGTCAACTATATTTGGTGTATGGAATGATTGTAAGGTGTACATGTCTGCCTTGCAGGTATCATCTGACCTTGACCTCATTTTATGGTTCAATGGTCAATGTTAAGTTTTTGTGTTTTGGTCTGTTTTTCAAATACTTATAGCAATAGGTCAGCTATATTTGGTGTATGGAAAATTTTAAGGTGCACATGTCTCTCTTGCAGGTATAATCTGTCCTTGACCTCATTGTCATAGATCTTTAAAAAATTTTAAGTTTCTGTAATGCTTTTAGTAAAACCTTTATCTTTAAGACTTTCAACATTAAATCAATGGTCAGTAAAGCAGGCGAGACATTTCAGCATGTGCACTCTTGTTATTGGTATTTACCGCTGGCCTGGTCAATACTAGTATTTTTTTGCCAACCTTGGTACTAAATAGTTACTTTAATTTAACTATACATCATAGATTCAGAACATTATTCTCTTCTATTGATTTTACTTTTAGTTACTGTATAATATTACAGTGGGGAACTTTTTAAAGCTAAGCCGTATTATTCCACAATCAGTTCATTTTTATATAAAAGGGATTGTCAATCAGATTACCAAAATAAAGATATAATTTTTTGGAAAAGGATTATCTTTTCAATGAATGAAATATAAGCTGTCTACCAAAATAAAGATATTGGTTATTAAATGGACAAACATTTACTTGGTGACATCCTTCATACATGGTCCCCTAGAATGTATCAGGTACTATAGTGTCTACCAATTATACATTTATAGTTAAAGATATTTCTGATGTTCTGTGACTTCCTGTGTATGATGACATGTCACAAAAATAGTTATAGACATGTATTAACGATCATACATGTACATTCATTAAACTTAAAGGTATAAAAAAACAACTGCAAAACATAATGATTAGAGATACAATGCCGTATTGCATCCACATTACAAAGTAAGTGGTAAGTAAATTACATCTTCTCATACTTAAGAAATTCAAAATTGTACTCTGCCACAATCTATCTGGGACAGTTTTCACAAATTTATATTTAATAACTCTATAAAAATACATATTCAGACCTGAAAATAAATGCTAATTGACTTTTATCTTTTCGTTCACTCCATAAAGAGAGTGAATGTAAATACTTGCACTGGGTACATGAAGTAGCATAACAATTAAAAATGTCTACTTCAGAATTGCTCCAGCCTTACTTAGACAAGCATCATATGGAACAATAAAGATTGGAGTTTACCATACATTAAAAAGAGCACTTGTTCCAGACCCAGAAGGTAAATTTGTTTAGATTAATAACTTCTTTTCCGATCATGCACATTAAAGTGGTTGCCTTTTATTGTAAATGTGAAATACAATTCTTCAATACACTCTCTGGTGGTTTACATACACATCTGTACCCATGTCTTTGCAACATACAAAGAAAACAAATATGATATGTGTACAATTAAACTTGAAGCAGTAACCATAAAATATCTTAATATTAAGCATCATATTTGGCTCAACTCACATTAGTTCCCCACTTGGTTAAAGCAGCTAGATTAAATGTGCTATCAACTTTACATTATGGGATTTTTGAATATATTTGACATTGTTTGAGTATATTTGGGTGACAGGAAGTGGAAATCCAGCTATTCAAGAAGATCAGAAATATCTGAATCAATATGCTTTCAGATTTCCTGCTTTGATCAAATAAACTGTACTGCTACATTCTTATTTATTTGAAATGTTTGAACACATTTATTTACATAGGGTAATGTATATTTACAGATGAAACTTTATCAATTAACGTGTTATGTGGTGTCATTGCCGGAATTGTCTCCAGTGCAGCTGCCAATCCCACAGATTTGCTCAAAGTAAGTGATTAAATGTGCATGTTATACTGCAGTTCTAAGCCAGTCAAGAATGAAGAAACTCCTGTGTGCATGACTAAAGCTGTAAATAATGGTAAAAAACTGTGAATATGAAAAAAATGTTATACATTTAGAACTGATTAAATATTTATAAATTATTATATTTTAAAGGTGCGAATGCAAGTTAAAGGAAGAGAAGGATGTGGAGAAGACATGTTCAATGCATTTATTAACATTTATAAACAAGAAGGATTACGAGGATTATGGAGGGTTTGTATATCAATAATTGATTACTATATAAGTATAAAGAGGCTTAATTAGAAATTCAGAAGATATAGTTGTATTATGAAGAATGAAATAGATAATTTATTGACATTTTCCTAAAGGAAAATAATATATAGAAAAGTTTGTTACCTGTGCATAATTATATCTGATGAACCTGGTCACCAATATATATTATTCAAGATGGACCACATACTGTAAACGTTGAAATTTTGCACTTGTGTATTTTTGGTTCTTTTACAAACACATAAAATGCATGAAAATGTCCCCCACACATAAAGTTTGTAAAATAAAAAATATTGATATGAAGGGTGTAATTTTCATTTGATGCACAAAATATCCCAGTGCGATAAATGTATGGATTGTAATATATAACAACCCGCAAAATATTCACACTTAAACGTATTAAAGTAAATGTTATCAAGTTGGCAGTCATTTTCTGTCCCAGAACAGTTGTACCTAACAGAGTTCATTACAAGCATTTATTCTGAACTGTCATCAATTATTGATGTTAACTCTCAAGTACTCTCCCTGTTTACCTTAAATTTCTATTTTTCCAGGGTGTTGTACCCACAGCTCAGAGAGCGGCCACCGTAGCAGGGGTGGAATTACCAGCTTATGATTTATGTAAAAAAGTTATAGTGCAATCAGGGTATCTTGGTGATACAAAGCCAACACATTTCTTGTAAGTTGTCACTTCATACCTAACGCAACATATGCTATTTTTAGTGATATAGATAAATCTTGTTCTGAGATAGGGCATTGTAGATGAAAAAATTAGAGTAGGCTTTACTATTGGTAAAAAAATAAATACAAAGATTAACAATCATTTCATGGTCAAAGGGCAATAACTAGTGTATTAATTATAATCAGAATGTTTAGCTTTCATCTTGTGAAGATAAATTAAAACAGTACATTGTAATTAAAGAGGAAACATAATCCAAAGTTTTTGTCACAGTTTTAAAACAGAAATTTTTTTCTCCTGTCTAGTTTTTAAGGATCGCAAATGGACCTAAAATAAAGATTTTGTTGAAAATTTACAAAATTTTCTGAATTTCAACCAGATTTAGGCCTAGGAAACATAGAAAGGTTTTAAATATTCTAGTCATACAGGTGATTTCCTTTCTAGTCATTGTTTTAACTATATGATACATTATGAAAATGGCCAATAAATCCTAGTTTGGAATAAGGGGTCATAGATTGACCTAATCGAACCTACGCCTTTAATACAGTGCTTTACAATTTCTCAAAAAATATTAAATCAAACTATCAAAACATGGCCAGAGAGAAATAAATAATAAATAAAAGAATAAAAACTTGTTACGTTTGTATTGAAATTGGAATGGAAAATTTTTGGTACCGTTTAAGCGTAATTTATCAGCCTTATTTGAATCGAAATGTTTTATCTTGTAGAGCCAGTTTTCTAGCAGGTCTGGCTGGTGCTATTGCCTCAACTCCAATTGATGTAATAAAGGTAAAAATTATGTTCTGTTATCTTATTGTTAAGAATAATCAGCTTACACACGCTGCTGCAAATGGTATGATCAAAATCTGAGGGGGCTTCTTATAATATAATCAAATCTGCTTCTTAAGCTTCTTAAATTTACATCATTATTTCAAGCCTTTATTTGTTTAAAGAGATTTTCATAAACTGCCAAGATTTTGTTGATTCTGCTCTGGAATTATTCTAATGGCTTAGTCTATGATTTTATTAGTTAATGTGATGGATGGTTTATTGGATTAAAAATTTTACCTTACCTTTTACTGGGCTTTAAAATTTTGTACCTTATGAGGTGAGTGGAATGCTGTTCATGTCAAAATAAAGATAAAGAAAATGGCTTTGGTAAAGATTAGAATTTAGTATTTTTTTAATATCTGACACAGCCAAGCTAAGGCAAAGTCATTGAAATGAGAGAGAAATACAGACTATTAGATTTTACTGAAAATTTTAAACAAGCCATTAAACACTGCAAGTTGTTCTTGGGTGTCATAAATTAAAACATATTTTCTTTTCTACTCATTAGTTATCCTTTTATAGTTTTAATTTTTTAATTTTGATTTAATTTATTTGTTTTTTGGCAAGTTAATCTTTTTCTGTTATGGAATTTCTGTTGTAAAGTCTTGGAAAGTTTTAGAAGTTGGTTTCTTAATCTTGGAGCCAGAATTGTTTTTTTTTATAAAATACAAAATCAGAAAATAGCATCAGGAATGTTCAAATCAGTTTTTATTGCAATTTATTTTGTTTTGTACTTGATATCATTATACTTTTCAATATTTTAAATAATGTAAGCAGATTTGATTATATGTAAAAATTGACCATATAGAAATAACATTAGATACATATTATCTATGCCAAGTTCGTGAAAAATTAAGGAACATGCATAAAAAATTTATATCTCTACATGAACACATTAATATTTCTACATGAACATATTGATTCTGTTGTCATTATAACTGAAAGCTTTGGGCAGATTTATATATTTCACTAGTAACCATTGTTTAATTATAACTATTGGCATGTACAAGGTACAAACAAATATTTTGAGGAATTATAGAAAAAAACCTTTTTATTTTCTTTGTCTAACAATGGTTCTGGTGAAAATTTAAAGAAGCCCTTGGTTAACAGTTAATATGATTTTTCATTCAACCTTACATACATGATGACACATAAAGAGAAAAAAGTAAATCCTAGATGGGTAATCATGCACATGCACATACACATACACTAGTATACAAATACATACATATACTTATAAACACACACATTTAAATGTTAGACTCAACTCTTATTGCAATATATCATGGCATACAAATAGTTTGGAACTCCGTGGAAATAATAAGTAAAGAAACATTTTGATCATACCAAGATAAACCTGACTTTTACAAAGAACAGTCCATCTATTGTTTAAAGCTGGTTACTTTGTCTATTTTCAATTTTGTATTGTCTGACTTAGTTAATATTAAATTAGAACTGTTTTCCAATGAAAAACAAGCTAAAAGTACAGAATTCATGGAAATGAAATGATATCTTTCTTAAATTTGTGGGGAATAAACTTTTTGGAACTTTTAAGGTTATCACTGTCATTAGATTTGATAAAAAAGGCTTTTCTTGTGAAAAATATAATTGAAAATAGACATTTGATTGTATAGATTGATAAAGATATTTAAAAAAATATTTGAAATATTTATGTTTGCAAAATTATATTATAAATGAAAATGTATTTACATTTTTGAGTTATTTTGGCATTTTTTTATAAGAAATTTACAATTTGGTTAACAGAAAATTTCAATGCAGACTCTTATTCATTACAATTTTATGTTGACTGCTTCATGTGTAAAATCAGTATAAATCCCACCTATTATATCCTCTCATATCCTAGTCTTTAATCTGTATGCAGATAAAACTGTCTTAAATATTGGTAACCAAGCACTAGCTCTCCTTGGTAATATTTTTAACAGATTATTTTTGTTTATTTAAGATCTCTTCTGACAAGTTTCTTTGCAACCTGATAGCATGAAAAAAGAGTTAAATTCCTATTAAAGTTTTATTATTATCTTTGGACAATTTTTTTTTTTTTTTCAATTGTTCAATTCTTAAATGACAAATTTTCAAAAGACTTTATATATAATTAATGTGAGTTCAAGCCAATTAAAATTAAGGTTTCAGAAAATATGCGTATTTTGTCTAAAACAAGAATTTTGATTTCTTTCTAAACATTTAGGAAATTTTGGCATCCATGGTCTATCTGCATCCTGTTGCATGTTATCAAAAATGGTTTCAAATTTCAGCAATCATGGCAATTCACATGAATTTATAACTTCTCTTACAAGTATTGGGATCATAAAGGCATGCATGATGATGGCTAGGAAAATCTTTCAAGCCTCCAAAAATTGTTACGACTTGCATTTCATTATTTGCTCATTCATCAATTGTTACATGAAATTTGTGACAGTCAGTATGACAATCCTGTCTCCTTCATTTATCAAGTAGCATAATTAATATTGAATATTCACCTGCATTTTTGAGTATTGTAATTACTGTGTTTTTGGTCTACAAATGCAACCAGTTAACCAATCAAACGATATTCTAGTGTGGCAGCATATTGATTATGGTCTTTCAAAATAATGATTTTAAAAATTCTTGACCTTCAAGGCATGCATTTCTATTTCTGCTTAAATTATAAAAACGTTTCATTCTTCCTTAGTTAAAGGGTAGTGTGAGTTTTCGCTATCTCTTAGTGTCCATTGTCCAACATAAATGTTTATCAACTCCTCTCAAACTTCTGAGCAAGATTGAATTAAATTTGGCTAGACTAAATTGAATCATACCAAATTACAATATCCTGTCCTTTAAATTTCATCCTGGGTAAAAGTTTTGCTGCCAGATGCAGTTCTTGATTCATTCTGTCAGTTTTATATTTCTGCTTTAAAAATATTAGACTAAATCTTTTCAATCTTTAAAGGGAGAATGATGATGATGATAATTGGGAGACCTTTTACAGAGTTTTGCTATTTCATGCAGATTCAGTGACACTCACACTGACTAAATTTTATGCTATATCTTCCCTTGCTTGGGGGGTTAAAATTACTTTGATATCTAGAACTCTTCAATTACTAAAGTGTCTGCATTGATAATAGAAACTTAAGATACACCTAAAATGAAAGATATCAAGATAGCTCAGTGGGAATATCTTATTGTGCATAGCATTTTGGTTATATTTTGTCATAAACTACACATTTTGTCTCCAATATTGTAAACTTGGTCTATTTTAGACCATGTAACATTTTACTAGTTGGTTGTATATTGTTTTATAGCTCGAGTTATGAAGCGACCAGATCCAGAGGAATGAAGGAGTGTACCCACGTAGAGGAGGATGTGATTAAGCACTGGGGGCAAGGCTCTGCCCCCACCCTGCTCTCACACTTCTTATTTATGTGGGTTGTAATGTAGCTAAGTGTAATTAATTCAATCAGTTCCTTTGTAGCTGCATCATATTGTTATATTGTCATTGTTCATTTTATGTAGTTCATTTTTAAACAAACTAATAATATGAGTTACGATAAAATTGTCAGATGTGCTGGTTTTTGTTAAAATTTTATAGAATTTTATTTTTATTAATATAAATTCATTTTTTTAAAAAGTTTTTCTTAATTGCTAAAATTTTCAAAATGTATAGAAAATAAAATTAAAGGCAAATTTTGTCCTGTAGAAATTCCTTTACCCTTAAATAACTTTATTTCAATTCAATTGGCTTTGCAGAATTTGTGTACATGTTTGCAGTGTAACATGATTAATGAGGGTCATATAATGTGCAATCCTAGATACTTAAGTTGGATAATGAAAACCTTGAATATAGGTAACCCTTCCCTCCAAATGTACTGTTAAGCCCATTTCCAGAGATGTTAGCATATTTAAGGTTAAATTACACGTTAAAATAGTTCATATGAAAATATTGAACAATTTTACCCTGTCCTTAAGCTCTTCACTGGCAAGCAACACCATTCTACTAAAAAAAAAATCAAGTGGCCAACTCTCGAAAATATGAGACTACAAGTTTAGTTGAATCTTGGGGTCTTAACATTTGAAAGGCTTAAATACTAACTTAATACCAGTCGCCAAGTATCGATGAACATCAATATATTTGTTACATCATACTAAAAACAGACTGGAACCACTTTCTATCACATTATTTGTTTACTGTAAAATAGATATGTACAATCAATCCTTGCAGTACTTGAGTCAACATTGTTCTAACTCCTACAATAGGTTTCTTATTCAACTGATGGGGAAACCTGGTTAGTTGAGTAACTATCTTTTAAATTGAAGTGATATATAATCAAGACACCTAGAATATTTTACACATAACACATTCTTACCTATATTTTTACTGAAAATAAAATCTTAAATGTGTAAATAATTTTGATAAATAGAAATGCAATACTACATATTTGATAAAGAATTCTAAATGATTCAGAGTAATTCATCTTTGTTGTCATGGTTTACAAAATAAGCACATCTGACATTCAGTTAGAAATATGTATTTCCATTATCTGTCCATGGAAGAATATTTTTGTACATCAGATTTGATTAAAAAATAAAATACCACATTTGCATGTTTCTTCATATATATATATATATATATATATATGTTTTCTATATAAACACATATTTTGCCTAGCCTTTGTTGGAAGTCATAGTAAATTCTAAGTTTTAACCTTTCAGATGACAGCACTAACAATAGCAGATAACTATATATTTATGTAATGCCTACTTTCACCTGTTTTGTATTGTGGATATCTATTATGATGAGACTTGGTAATTCAATCATTATCTCTTGACTTTTTGTCTTGGACTTTGTTTTTATGCTCAAGTAATCAGACTATTTTCATGATGTGGTCTGTTTCTCAGATACCATGGCAGCTGTGCATGACAGATTGAAAATAGTGTGTGTGTGAATTCATTTTATGTACATGAACTTGTTTGCTTTGATAGACCATGACTTCAGTTTCAGAGTTCATTGCACTTTGTAAAAATTCAAATATTGCCATAAGTGAGACGACAAGTGTGTCAGCTTTTACTGAGAACTAACTTGAAACATTTATATCATGTATAGCTGGAATATCTGTTATTCTTTGAAGTTTAATCCATAGTCCTTAAAGGTAAAGATCTTATAATGGTATGCAAAATAATAAAACTGGTCTTGCTAATGTGTTGGTCCCAAGTCAATAACCTATACTCATCACTGTTTTTTGTCTTTTAAGAAATTTGATACTCGTGGCAGGGTTGTAATAACTAACAATTTCTCTTGATCAGGACTTTTTAAAGCTTAACAAATGGTACAGATATTGGTCTCCTTGTGTTATAAGGCTCCTGTATCATTGTTCTTGATTTCACAGCTTTAATCTTTACTTAATGACTGTATCCATCTCTTCTTCCAACACAAACTGATCCTGTCGGTACCAGTCTAAAGGTTTACATAATAAACTTTTCGGAAACTTGTACCTCCTCAGGACATTTGACAGGTACTGTTTGGATTAAATATGGTAGCTTGCTTAATAAATAAGTATAATCAGAGTGTCTATTAGGTCTCGTATCAGAAAGCAGGTAAAATTAGCCTATTCTTATGATTCATGGTCGTGTTGTTTCTCCTCTTTTCTATTTCAATACATTTTTAACTTGGACAGTTGAGCCAAAATTAGTACTTGTAATTGCTACTAATATCTTTTAAGATATATATATATATATATATATATATGTATGAAACAGTGAATGTGGTATGTTGATAAAGCATAAAAATTATATTGTTACACAGTTTAGTTTTGATTCTTATAATTATGCACATCTGTTGAAAAACCCATCACAAATTAAGGAGAGTGACTTATCTTTAAGGTAAAGTACAATTTTGAGGTGAAGTTTAGGTTAGAAATTCTTTGTCAGCATAACTTTGAAATAAATTTCAAATGATGGTTTAAGCATAACCAGATATGATTTTTAAAATAGACGATATAGGGATTGGTACATTGGTTAGGAAAGCTAAATGTCAGTTAAAAAGAAGTATGTTTTTCTAAATACCATTTGTCCAGACAGACAAATACCACAGGAAACAGAAATTCTATAAAAAAAGATGCTTATCAGAGCCAAAAATGAATAAATTTATATTATAGAGAATAAATGACCTACATAACAGGTCTCCGGTCAGTTAAAAGTGAGATATGATTTTACAGATCAAATAGAAGACAAAACAAGGATTGGAAAGTAAAAAAATATCCAATCATGTTAAAGAGTGACTCTGAAAAGTATCACTAGCAAAAGTACAAAAATATCCAATCGTGTTAGAGTATGACTCTGAAAAGTATCACTAGCAAAAGTACAAAAATATCCAATCCTGTTAGAGTAAGACTCTGAAAGTATCACTATCAACAGTACAAAAACAAATTGAAGATCAATGTGACAAGGGCAAGTTTTTCTTTGTATGGCAGATTCAAATGTAAAATTTAATTGTATATCTGTTTATGATATATTTGCATCTGTTCTCAATATTTGTCTCACCTCTAACTTTAAACTTCAAACTGAGCTTGAACTTTACCTTGATGATAAGTTGCACTCCAAATTAAATAAAGTAGAAATAAAAAAAAAGTATTAGAAATGGCTAAGAAAAAATTAGTTTCTATAAGAATAGAATGCATTTAAAAAAAGGTCTGATATCACTTTTGGTTTTATTTAGGCACAAACCAGTATATATATATAACAATGAATAAACAACATTCAGTAAAATTAGCAAGGGTGTTCAATAGGGCCTCACTTAAGAAAGATTATATGCTTGATATACTAGCAATCCCTCCTCACATGTATAGACCAAGACTAGTGGTTGGAAAACAATTGTATTTGCCAGACAATTCTATTCCTGAAAGGCAAATGACCAAATGGTATTTGGGATTTAGGTAATGAAAAAAAAAATTTTAGAGATAGTTTTGGTTATTTCTGTTTTTTTTAATCGCAATTTATATTATGGGATTGCAGTAAAAAAAAATTATAAAATTAACCAGATCAGACATGTCACATAATTTCAACGCACTATTTTAGTTATCAGTTACGAAAACTTAAATTTCTGGTAATAAAACTAAAATTGTCATTCAGTTTTCTATGATAATACACAGGACCCCACATGTGGCTGTTTAATGCCCCCAGGGAATATTGGGTTGATACTAGCTTATCATTTTGACTGTTTTAACCTGTGTTGACACCTGACAGCAGAAATTAATGACCATTTACCGAGGATTTACTGTATATTTAATATGAACTTTTCAGGAAAGACCAATAATTTTAGATTTTTTGTGCAAGTGTCTCTTTTTTTATTAACAAAAACAGTATTCATGATATAAGACCCTATATCGTAAATTGTGCATTAATTTCACGCCAAATTAAGCAAGTAAAACAAATATCATTTATAATGAAACACCTTTACAAGAATGATTGTTCAAAAACTTTGATTAATTGCAGTTTCATAGTCAGAAGCAAAATTTCCCCAGAACTTCATTCTTAATTTATTTTCTAGATCTTGTCTCAAAATCCAAAGTAGCATGATCTTTCGTAAGGAATGTGCAACTTTATGTCATGGAAATTATTGCAGTTTAAAAGTGTTGAATTCCACAAATCATTCTTCAATGTTTTTTTACAAAAACATGTATTAAACAACATATATATATATAGTTCATGCTGCAAAAAAGTTGATATAGGTTTGTTTATGTTGTGACATCTGGTATATTTTGACAGTTCAAAAAAAAAAAATGACCCAGACTTCCGAGTCCTCAACAAATAACTGAAATCATGTAAAATGTCTAGATCCTTGAGGAAGGGTTTGAAAATTATGGTTCCAAATCCAGGAAATGGGGATTTCCCATCATTTAAGTGATGCATCTTTCTATATGATAAAAGTGAGGCCCTTTTGACATGTCCGTCTCATTACAAATTTAACTATTTTTTTGACGATGAATTAAAACTGCTATAATCATCAATTGAGAAGTTGGTGGTCATTTTTCTGACTTGTATCATGTTTAAAACTCATGTAAATAGAATATGTAGTTATATTATATAAGATTTATCATGAAGTTGTTTTGAATTGTTAATTTTGGTATATAACTGAGTTCTGAACATTATTTTTCCTTTTCAGACACGAATGATGAACCAGAAGGTTTTACGACCACAGCTGGTGATGAATGGAGGTTCTGCAGCTGTAGGAAAATCTGTCTATACATCCTCTGTAGATTGCCTGGTGCAGGTATACTTTGTTCTAAATAGCAGTGGCATCACCTTTTCTGTTATAGATATACTTTTGTAGTAGTGTCAGCCCTCAATTTAGACTACTAAAACAGATGCCTGGGAGACCTTAAAGTCCACAGGTGACCTACTAAATTTCAATGCTGGTGGCCAATTGGCAAAAATTACTTTTTGAACCTGGCTACCGTTTAAAAAAACCATTTGGGGCCAATCCTGTTAGCCGATTTGAAAATACATTTCTACTGCCAGTTCAGCAATGTGCTTGCAAGTGGGTTGACTTAAATAAGTGTCAAGCACTTTCATTGTCTACGAGTAAAGACAGCCATTGATACAACAGCAAAATATACTAAATGAAATATTATTAAAGTGGAAAAGTAAAGACACTTGAAATGATTTGATCACAATGTTGGTGGCCAAACAGAGATAAACAGTCAGAGCTCAGACATAAGTCTAAATCTGCTTTTGACTCATAGAGGTCTAAATTTGAAGGTTTCAAGATTTGTATCCCTTTAATTTAAGACCAATTATGACTTCAATAAGTCAATTAAGTGTTAAGCAAGAAATATTTGACCTAAATCAAAGAGTTGCAAATATTGACTCCTACAAGTCAACAAGTTGCCAAAATTGGCCAACTTCAAAACCCATGCATATTTATAAAAAGGTCATGCATCTACATGAAATTATGACAACATTGAAAGACAATGCTTTGTCTTCTAAGGAAAAATATGCATGAGAGTCTAAAAAATCGGAGATAATGTTTATTTACTTCACAATGCAACCATCTGTAATCACACAAAATGAGGAAAATAATCTATGTTAAGTAAAATTGTTCAATTAGATAATTAAATATAGATAGCTCAGGTCATTGTGAACTCTCACACAGGTTTATGATGTCATAGGTGGTGCACTTTGGCCACTAATTAAAATTATGTCTTTTCATAAACATAAATAGACCTAAACAAGTCTGTCATTTTCTGACCTGAAATTACTGCCTGGCCACTTAACTTTTGAATTGGCCACTGAAAATTTATATCTGGTGGCCAAATGGCAAACTGATACTTTAACCTACTTTGAGGGCTGACTGTGTTTTCCATCTTCGCTCGCCAAGGGTTACGATCCAGACCCCTCCTCTCCACCCTTGGCAGATTGAGATAGAATTTCGGATCCACAGGTAAATTATTTCTGTTGGTCGCAATTGTAACTGACTGCATCTAATCAAAAAGCGCCTTTAAGATGATCATGTGTAAATGTAGAAAATGTAAATAAAGAATTGCCATGTGCTGATTGTGCAACAAGTCTTTATCCTCAAAACATAGGACTATATCCAGTAACAATTCTAAAGTTCTTAATCAACTACGTAATTAAAGTTCCTGGGTATGTTTCTTGTACAAATGTTGGTCAAGAATAATGTAGTTGGAATGGGTGTGACTTTTATCTACCGATAGATGGTGTAGCATTGTAATCACAAGTGATGGCTTAATCTGCCAAGGGTGGAGAGGAGGGGACTGGATCATAACCCTTGGCTAGCGAAGATGGTGTTTTCAGGATATATGTGATAAACAAAATAATGAAAAGTAGAATACCTGATTATTAATATTTTTTATTTTTCAAAAGCAGTCTATTTGTGAGATTGGGTCAAAAATGTCGCATCAGGTAAAGTCATTGATTGTAATTCAAATTGATTATTAATCATTTCTGAGACATAGTTGTTTAAAGACGAGAATTTGTATTATGGCAAACTTTAGAGATGATAATTTAGGTAGATATTCAAGATTAAAATTATTCTGTCCAACTATGTAATAACCAGAAAAGAAAAAAATAACAAATGGTACCCAGTTATCTTTGGAGAACAATGCATTCAAACAAATTTTAGTCTTAAATTAAATTGTAAGATATCATATGAATACCAAGTGGTTTACTATATTGAATATTGTGAATGAAGATAACTTTTTCTGTTTTAGACTGTGAGGACAGAAGGAGTTATGGCTTTATACAAAGGGTTTGTTCCAACCTGGGTCAGACTTGGTCCATGGAATATAATCGTATCCTTTCAGAGTATTCATTATCATAAATAACAATTTCTGTATTAAAGTTTTCCTAGAATAAAAAATACCATAAATTCAGAAATTATTGTGATGTTAATTCAATTATTACAAACCTGAACCAGTCACACATATTAGAGGATTGTTAGGGTTTGCAATAATAAATGTATACATTGATTTATGAATTTACAGTATGTAGAATAAGGAGTGAGGACAAATTAGAACCTGGCCTGACCTCAAATATTGCTACCAGAATAAAACACTCATAATCACTGAAATCACTAAGCCAATAGTAACTAAACGTAATAAGAGAAATTCTCAATGTCTTGTTTCAAAAACGCAGACAAACCAGCAAATATTACTTTTAATTAACATGAGGGGCAAAACATCAACCTCAATCTTTCTCTATAGTTTTGCAGCCTGTGTGGACTTTTTACTTTTTAGATGTACATCACATGATGCTGCTTTGAATCCCATATAGTTGAAACTATGGAAAATATGTTAAGTATAGTGATTTAAGGGAAAAGACACTATAAATTCCCTCATGAAACAAATTGACCTGTTTCAGCCTGAATTAGCCTTAGTTGTCTGGCTTCAAATTGTATTGGGTGATACAGAAGATAAAGTTTTACCCACTGCACTATTCAATAAAAAAGTTACCTTTACTACGATTTAATATACAAATTATTTCCAAATCATATTCTGAATTTAGTTATCTTCCCCTAGCTTGGTTCAATGCATGGTAACCAAATTGCCAGTCTAAACTTACTGAAAAAAGTCAAAACAAGGTCAGGTGACAAATGTTGTGTTACAGGACAATTCTAGAAATGGTATCCCCACAGCAAACCATGGTCCAATTTGCAACTACAAATGTGCAATTTTTTATGGGTTTTTTTTTTTGCTCCATGTGACTTTGAGATGAAGAACAGCAGTAAAAGTGCTGTTCCTTTGCATTTTTTGGGTGTTGTTTGCTGTGCATGTACTGATTTTGTGTCATGGATGGATACCCCATATCCTTTGTTTTTTCTACTACATGAAATGTAAATTTTAAAACACAGACTTTTAGCATTTAAACTTAAAGGTATTTGAAGTATAGTTATTCTGGACATGTTGTAAGACACTGTTAAATTTTGCTATTTGTTTCCTTGACATTTATCAGTTCTTTATGACGTACGAACAATTGAAGAAGATCCACTGAAGTCTGTGATATTTTTAAAGACATTAAAAATGAATTTTACCGGTAATGAATGCAACAAATCAGATTTCACACCAGAGAAGAGGAAAAGAACAAATATGGTGCAAAAAAGTTTTTTCGAAAAGATGAAACATTTGGGGAAAATATGGAATCATCTGCTACATATATTTAAAGTTAACTCATAATTTTCACATTAGAAGTAGGAAGTTGTTAAATATGAATTTTATGCTCAAATTGGTTAATTGATCTTTTTCATTCATAAAATTAAAATTGTACAAAAGTCGAAAGACAGGAATATAAATTGAAGTGATTTCAGTAAATAATGTCTTTAAAGTAATGTAGAAACAGTTTAACTGTTGTTTTCCAGTTATTTGCATTGCTGAAGTAAATATTCCTCATATTGACTTATTTTTTGTCATTTTACACAGTATTTGTAATAAAAAAGTAGAGTAGGGTGATATATAATACAAACAAACTCTGTTGGTTTTTTAAAGTACATAATAAAGGAGAGAAGGTTGATTCAGATCTATAGAAAGATATTATTCTTTTAGAATCTCATTGTTAATGACCAAAGAATATTTTATGTATGCTGAACTTTGTTTGAAGTGAAATCCTAAGACCAATTTTCGTATACTCAGTATTTTCAGTAATTTTGCATATGTAAATATATGTGTTGTTTACAAATATGAATATTATACATTTTTGTATGAATTTATTAACTGGTACACACAATTATAAAAAGCGAACAAATCATACACCTTGCTTGTTTGTAACAAAGAATAATGGTGCAAATTTAGATGGAAGATGACCTGAAAAAGATGGTTATTTAACTGGAGCAGTATTAACTTCAAAATAGTTTCTTACTGCTTATGTTAATTATAAGATTATTTGTTAACTGTAAAACTGTTATGTACTAATAAGCTTCTAATGTTTTGTACGAATATACATAAAGATATCAGATTTTCAGTCTTAGTTAATAACAAAAACTCAATGTGGTATGCCTTTATTTCTCCTATGTCCTAAAAATTTCCATCACAAGCTTAAATAGCAAATAGGATAGTTTATCAAAGTTTGATAAAACTTGGAATCTTCCTTTTAGAGTTCAATTTTTAAATAAGTTTATGGGTTTTTGTCTTAAATTCTGTTTTAAGAAAAAAAACATTCTTTTCCCACTGTTTTCTGAAATGTGATAGAATTTTAATTTATTTTAATAATAAGCAAAAGGAAGGAAAACATTGTTAATTTGTTTTATTGTTGTATAAGTTTAACTGTAGAAAAAAACTTCATTTATAGAAGAAAAGTATGAGTTTTAGGTAAAGTTCAGTGTATTTTTTCAAATGTGCAATTCTCTTTTAAGTTTGGAATTCTTAAAAGGGGCACTGTAAAACTATTATGGATAAACACATTAAATTCAATAATGATTTTTATAAAATCATTCCATTTTATATGAAATCTGCTTACCATCATTTTTTTATGGTACAGAGTTAGATAAAAATGCCTTTATTTTGATTTTTCTTGATCTCATATTTGTTTGTTACAAATTTTGTTTTCCATATTTTGGAAGAGTTAGATAGATGCTTTTTCAGTATTCTATGCAGCGAAAAAACATGAATGTTGGCTATTATTATTATAATAAAAGTATGACAGAACTTTTCCTGTTTTTGTTTTGTTTTTAGCCTTTGTATATAACATTACAACCCTTTTACGCTAATCTTCAAACATGGTCTCGTGACTTTCCTCCTAAGCAATCAGTCTTACATTGACTCTATTTTGTATGAATCCTTCAATATCTTTTTTAAGTAGAAAGTTTGTTTTGTGAAAGTTTACTTTTTTAGTTCACCACAAAGAAACCGAGGTTGACTGACAAAGTACTCTCATTGTCCGTTTTTATGGATATGACTTGGGTATAAGGAGACAAATATAAATAGAATTTAAACCATTCAGGTGTCCTTATTTCCAGTTTTAGGACAAGGAGAATATCACTAAATGTTAGCTTGAAGTATATAAATTTGAATTTAAGACATTAAGCTGATAAATTTTAGAAGATAAACTTTGATCACCTGGTGCAAAAAGGTGCATGTCAAAAAACTTATAACTTGTACAAAAACCCTGTACAAATTATAATTTGTACAAACTTACATCTTGTACACAACATATACACCAAGTTCTTTGATACTATATAGCATATATTCAGATGTACCATGGAAAGACTAATTGAAGGTCTTTTTACCCATACTTTTGTAGTTCACTGGTTTTTGTCTTGCTTGACGGAGTCAAAAAGCGAGACATAGGTATGCTGTTTCTGGCGGCAGCGGCATCAACAATGTATTAGTTTGTGATTAGGTCTAGTTTGTGGTGAACCACAAGTTGTAGGTCAATCATATTTGGTATACAGTTGTATTAGCATTGGCACATCTCATTTCCATGGAGATTATTTGGCCCTGCCCCCTCAGTCATGGTCTATTGACTTTGAAACTTTTGCTTATTTTACATGTATTAGTTTGTGATTAGGTCAGTTTATGAGGAACCATTAGTGGTAGGTCAATGATATTTGGTATGCAGTTGTATAAGCATTGGCATATCTCATTTCCATGGAGATTATTTGGCTCAGCCCCCTTAGTCATGGTCTATTGACTTAGAAAATTTTGCTTAGTTAACACGTATTAGTTTGTGATTAGGTCAGTTCAAGGGGAACCATTAGTGGTAGGCCAATGTTAATTGGTATTCAGTTGTATAAGCATTAGCACCTCTCATTTCAATGGAGAATATTTGGCCCCATCCCCTCAGTCATGGCCTATTTACTTTGAAACTTTTGCTTGGTTTACATGTATTAGTTTGTGATAAGATCAGTTTAAGATGAACTGCTAATGTTAAGTCAATGATATTTTGTATGCAAATTTATTGGCATTTGTAAGTATCATTTCCATGGAGATTATACAGCTCCACCCCCTCTTCATGGTTCATTGACTTTGAAACTTTTACATAGTTTACAAGTTAATGTTTGTGTTTAAGTTTGTTTAAAGGGAACAACTTATAATAAGTCAATGATATTTGGTATGCAGTTGTATTAGCATTAGCACATCTCATTTACATGGAGATTCACAAAAGCACCATCCAAAAAAAAAAAGCTTTTGAACGACAGATAATTCGGTCTAGGTTTAGACATGTACCTCAGTCATGATTCATTGACTTTGAATATTAGCCTAACTTGTTAAGTATTGCCATTTTAATTTCAATATTTGCATAATCAATATTACAAAAAAGCGAGACATATCTCTGTGATAACTGTTTATTAAGTTTTTGTCTTGTCTCAACAATGTTTAGGAGTGGAGACTACAGACGTGGTGTTACCAGTGGTGGCGGCCATGTTAGTTATGTATTAGTTTGTGATTAAGTCTGTTTAAGGGGAACAGCTAGTTGTAGGTCAGTGATATTTGGTATGCAGCTGTATTAGCATTAGCACATCTCATTTCCATGGAGATTTTTTGGCCCTGCCCCCTCTTTTCATGGAGATTATTTGGCCCTGCCCCCTCAGTCATGGTTCTTTGACTTTAAAACTTTTGCTTAGTCTACATTTTAAAGGTTGTGATTAGGTCAGTTTAAAATGAACCACTCATGGTAAGTCAATGATACTTGGTATGCAGTGGTATTAGCATTTGCAAGTCTCATTTCCATGGAGATTTTATGGCCACACCCGTCAGTCATGGTTCATTGACTCAGAAACTTGCATATAAAAATAAGGAGATGTGGTATTTTTCATGTTATAGTTTGAGTTGAGGTCAGTTTAAAGGAAACCACTTATAATAAGTCAATGGCATTTGGTATGCAGTTGTATTAGCATTGGCATATCTAATTTCCACTAAGATTTGGGCCCGCTCACTCGGGGTTCATTTTAAGTCCCCTAGCAACAAAGTCAAAGGGAACTAAGTTTGCACTCCGTCCGTCTGTCTCTCCGTTCATCCGTCAGTCCCGCAAACCAGTTTTCCACACTTTTTTTTTGTGCTTGATGATATAGATTTGATATTTGGTATATATTTTTTTCATGACCAGTTACAGATCAAGTTTGAATTTTGTACCGGTCTGATGATTTTGTGCAGAGTTATGGTCCTTTGACTTAGAAAATTCAAGCAAATAATCAGTTTACCGCATTCTTTTTTTGTTATGCTTGAAGATACAGATTTGATATTTGGTATATAGTTTCACCATGACAAGTTATAGATCAAGTTTGAATTTTGTTTGGTTAGGATGATTATTTTGCAGAGTTATGGTCCTCAAACTTAGAAAAGTCAAGCAAATAATCAGTTTTCAACACTATTTTTTCGTCATGCTTGAAGATATTGATACAATATTTGTTATATAGTTTAACAATAAAGTAAATATATTTATTCATAACAAAATATGAACAATTTATCAAGTCACTGCAAGCACTTGACAATCTGACGATCTCCATAAAAAAAATCCAGATATATTTTTTTTCAAGCTTGCCCTGAAACACAGAAATAATACATACATAAAGGGCACCTGAATATAACACGCGGGAACAAAGACAGAGAAAAAAAAAGCAGCTTATTTAACGAATTTAACGGTACACCATGACAAGTTATAGATCAAGTTAGTATTTTGTTCAAATACAATAAATTTTTAACTGATAGGGGACTATGTATTGCCATGCAATACTCTCAGAATGCTTGTCTATGAATGTTTTGCATAGTTTACAGGTTAAAGTATTGCCATTTTAATTTCATTATACTATCAATTTTAAATACAGGCAAGACATATCTCTGTGTCAACAGTTCATTTTAAATGTGAATATTGTGGATTCATTATTATTCATTATTTTACCAATTTTTGTGGATTTCGTAGGTGCAAGTGAACCTGGAATTTAAATGTTCAATGAATTACAAATTTTCTATAGGTTTGTATCTAGCAGACTTTGGCAAAACCACAAAATGGAATATCCACAAAAATGTTAGTTTTCCTTAATCCACGAAAATTGGTACCCAGGAAAATGAATGATTCTATGGTATTGCTAACCTACTATATAATAAATTGATACAAGGAAGTGTATATATAATCATCCCACCAAATAAAGTAAGGCGATGTAGGATATTTCTTATTGAGACAGCAATCCAACAACTTAATAAAACTAGATAGGATTAAAGGTCAACATTTGATCTTTAATAGACAAAATTTGTCCTCTATCTTTTTCATAGGTCAAACTGTAATAAGTTATCACAAGTCTGAATTTAGGAAGCAGGCACCTTAATGTTTTCACCTTGTTTATCTGATCATAAATAATTTTTGTGAGCGTAAAAAGTCTATACGTATTGGTATGAATGCTGACGGATTTTTGTACATCTGTTATGTGTAATATGTAGCCTTATCTTCTTTACAGTTGTTCTTCATTTGTCATGTCAAGGACTTTAAAAGCTTGCTATTATTACTATTTAAATTAAATAACGAGATTTGATATCAATTGATATCCAATTCTCACAAGTTGTTAAACCTATTTCTCTTATGGTTAACACTCTCTTTGTGTTAAATTAAAAATTCCGTGAATTGTTGATCTAGTCTTTTGCACATGCCAGTATGACATCATGTGTCCTTTTCCAGGTGTCAAACTTTAACGTCAGACATTTTAAGACTCTGTGCAGTGTGATACGAGAAATATCTATTCATGCAAGAAATATATAACAAACCACAGCCATAAGAGAATTTTGTGTTTTTATACGGCCACAAAAAAATTTTTGTGGTCGTATATTGGTATGACGATGGCGTCGTCGTCGTCGTCGTCGTCCGAAGACACATTGGTTTTCGCACTCTAACTTTAGTTTAAATGAATGGATCTCTATGAAATTTTACCACAAAGTTCAATACCACAAAAAGGAGGTTGGGATTGATTTTGGGGGTTATGGTACCAACTGTTAAGGAATTAGGGGTCAAAAAGGGACCAAAAATAAGCATTTTTGTAACTTCCAGACATGACTTGTGTGTTAGTGTATGGATCTCTCTGACATTGTACCACAAAGTTATAATGCTTTATTTAGAGTCGGTATGTGCAAATACAAGTATAAAACATAAGCTCCGAAGAAAAGGAATGCTGGGATTGATTTTGGGGGTAATTGCCTCAAAATTTTAGGAATAAGGGACCAAAAAAGGGGCAAAAAACAAGCATTTTTCTAGTTTCATGACAATAACTTGTGTGCAAGTGTATGGATCTTTCTGAAATTGTACTACAGGGTTCCATATCACAAAGGGAAAGCTGGAATTGAGTTTGGGGGTAATTGCCCAAATCGTTTAGGAATAAGGGGCCAAAAGAGGGCCAAAAATAAGCATTTTTCTAGTTTCCAGACAATAACTTGTGTTCAAGTGTATGGATATCTCTGAAATTGTACTGCAAGGTACCATACCACTAAAGGAAAGGCTGGGATTGATGTTGGGGGTAATTGCCTCAAAATTTTAGGAATTAGGGGGCAAAAAAACAAACATTTTTCTAGTTTCATGACAATAACTTGTGTGTAAGTGTATGGATCTTTCTGAAATTGTACTACAAGGTTCCATATCACAAAGGGAAAGCTGGAATTGAGTTTGGGGGTAATTGCTCAAAACGTTTAGGAATAAGGGGCCAAAAGGGGGCCAAAAATAAGCATTTTTCTAGTTTCCAGACAATAACTTGTGTTCAAGTGTATGGATCTCTCTGAAATTGTACTGCAAGGTACTTTACCACAAAGGGAAGGCAGGGATTGATTTTGGGGGTAACTGCCTCAAAATTTTAGGAATTAGGAGCCAAAAAGGGGCAAAAAAACAAGCATTTTTCTAGTTTCAGGACAATAACTTTTGTGTAAGTGTATGGATCTTTATGAAATTGTACAACAAGGTTCCATATCACAAAGGGAAAGCTGGGTTTGAGTTTGGGGGTAAATTGCCCTAAACGTTTAGGAAGTTGGGGCCAAAAAGGGAAAAAAAAACATGCATTTTTCTAGTTTCCAGACAATAACTTGTGTTCAAGTGTACGGATCTCTCTGAAATTGTACTGCAAGGCACCATACATTGTAACACGAAGGGAAGGCTCTTAGACCACATTCATTCTGTGTCAGAAACCTATGCTGTGTCAAATAATTAATCACAATCCAAATTCAGTGCTGTATCAAGCTTGAATGTTGTGGCCATACTTGCCCCAACAGTTCAGGGTTCGACCTCTGCGGTCGTATCAAGCTGCGCCCAGCGGAGCATTTTATTTTATTTACATTAATTGTATGCATTTGCAAACATTATGTGCAAATTTGAAATCATTTAAAAGCCTTTATTTTCTTGGGCTATAAAAAGGTTTTAATACTCCTACTCCTTTACTCTCAATTAATACATGTTCTGAAATTTATGGTGTACAGGAGGTAGATCTTTATATTCATCTCATAGGTAAAACTTTGAATCTATCTTTTAGCAAGTGGCTGTCTATGTAAAGAAATCAAGAATTTTTAATGTCTCTGGTAAATGTATGCAAACTTCAAAGATGAATTTTAATGGCACAGCTTAACTCATTGATATGTACATTTATTACATGTAATGATCTGTAATACATTATTGAAGATTACTCTTTCCATTTTATGATTAAAGAACCTTTGTGAGCATGCTCACATACCCCACACCCTCACATTATCATTGGGTAAACAGAATCTCACCAGATTCTTAAGTTCAAAGACTCGTAACTCCTACAAAAGTCAATTGATAAAAATATCTTGTGGATATGCACATCTACATATTGTGGTTTCAGAGGAGTTGCGATGGCAAACTGTTGCAGTAGTATATTTAGGCAGAAATTCTAAGTTCAAAGGGGCATAACTCCTAGAACAAATTTTGAATCATAATTTCCTGTCAATATGCACATCCACATAGTATGTCCTTATTATCTACAAAGTTTCATGAAATTCTACTGTGAAGATTCAGAGAAGTTGTGATGACAAACAGTTGCAGTAGTATATTTAGGCCATAATTCTAAGTTCAAAGGGCATAACTCATAGAAAAAAATTTAATCATAATTAGTCCCCTACCAACGAAGTCAAAGGGGACTTTAAGTTTGCACACTGTCCGTCCGTCTGTCCATCCATCAGTCTGGCAAATCAGTTTTCCACACTTTTTTTCTTCATGCTTGAAGATATTGATTTGATCTTTAGTGTATTGTTTTATCATGACAAGTTACAGATCAAGTTCTAATTTTGTTCAGGTCTGATGATTTTGTGCAGAGTTATGGTCCTTGAACTTAGAAAATTCACTCAAATAATCAGTTTTACGCACCTTTTTTCGTCATGCTTGAAGATATTGATTTGAAAATTGGTATATAGTTTTATCATGACAAGTTACAGATCAAGTTAGAATTTTGTTCCGGTCTGATGATTTTGTGCAGAGTTATGGTCCTTAGACTTAGAAAATTCACTTAAATATTCAGTTTTCAACACTTTTTTTTCGTCATGCTTGAAGATATTGACTTGATATTTGTTATATATAGTTTACACCATGAAAAGTTGTAGATCAAGTTAGAATTTTGTTCCAATACAATGAATTTTTAGTAAGGGACTATGTATTGCCATGCACATCTACATGGTATGTCCTTATTATCTACAAAGTTTCATGAAATTCTGTTGTGTGGATTCAGAGGAGTTGCGATGACAAACTGTTGCAGTAGTATATATTTTGGCGAAAATTCTAAGTTAAAAGGGGCACAATTCCTAGAAAAAAAATTGAATCATAATTTCCTGTCGACATGCACATCTACAAAGTATGTCCTTACATCTACAAAGTTTCATGAAATTATGTTGTGTGGTTTCAGAGGATTTGCGATGACAAGAACAGGACTGACGGATGTACTGATGGACGGATGGGTCAAAAACATTTTATCCTACGAAACTTTTGTTCTGTGGGGTATAGTTAATCCTTGTCACATCTGAACTCAGTTATAAACCAACTAGTGGTGAGGAAGCATGACAATCAGGAATTTGTCTGGCACAGGTAACAAACAAGTATAATTATTCACCTGTTGCCCCAAGAGATAACTGTAAAGGCTATTATATGTATATGTAATATGTAGTCCAATGGGACTAGAACACAATTTGGTACAGATTTTGTTCTTGATAAGAGGATGTGCATATATCTTTTGATTTTTTCTGTTTCACATATGCCTTAAGCAGTCGGTCATATATTTTGGTGTATAGAATGAAAGTAAGGTGTACAATGTACATGTTCTGTCTATCAGGGTTCATAAAGCCTTGACTTCATTTTCATGGTTCATTAGTCAATGTTAAGTTTTCATGACTAGTTGAGTTTCTAAGACACTACAAGAAAAAGGTCAATTATATTTAGTGTCTGGAAAGGTTGTAAGATGAACAAATCTGTCTGGTAGGAATCATCTGATCTTGACTTTATTTTCATGGTTCATTAGTCAATTTTTCCAGGGTAGATATTTTACAGTTTATATTTTATTAAATATTTATTATAATAACTGTGATCTGGTAATCAAGTCAAAGGGACCACTATTTAAACTTTTAAACTATTTTAAAATGTATTGATCATACTTATTATATATATTGCATTTTTTTAATGTTTTTATCATGAAATTAAATAAAGCCAGGGTTATATTTTTATTATTCTTCCTGGCCAATATAAAAAATTCTTTTCTGAAACTACAAGGCATAATGATTGAAACTTTCAGTGGCATAGCACTAGTGTAGCATTGTAAGCATGTGCTTACAAATAATTTTATGTATCATTTTTTTTCAATAAAAATTTGACTACGATCATTTAGCTGCCTCCCCCCAGACCCCCTACTTACAATTTATTTTCCTTTAAAGGATTGACAATTGGGAAACCCTCTTCAAACAATCCTTTTTAATGTTGAACGGGTGCCAGACATGGTGGCATTGCTGACACATAAATTTTGTAGTTCCTATTGGAAATCAAATGGGAAATCACATTTCTGTTTCTTGTTTGAAACTGCATGGCCAATCTAAACCAAACATGGCAGGAATGGTGTGTTGGACGTCCTTTACAAATGAATAACATTTAGTAGGCATTCGAATAGAAAATTGTATTCAATTGTTTACTAATGTGCAAGTGTTTGGTCGCAAAAAGGAGCATTATTTGTGATAAATTTTGTATCATGTAATATAATCATTGTTGAGGCTGGTTAAAGTGACTTAAGTTATTAATTCTTGTGATTTTCCAATGATTATCAGTTTTAGTTATAAGAAGTGATGTTTTTCAGACAAAGCAGCTTCACTAGGAACTATCCTAAGAACTTATTCTGAAATGAATCTACAGCATATTGTAGTTAGAAACCTTACATTATGTGGTGACACCATCAACAAACATATTGCTGGAAAAGAAACACCTATGTCTCGCCTCCTCCAAGAATTGTTATTATTCATTAGAATAAATTTCATTATAAATAAGAAATTATTTATGTATTGTCAGGTGAGTTTTATTATAAAGTACAACAAATTATCTATGTATTTTTTTTTAGAAGGCACATATTCTATGCAAGCATTTTCACTTGCCATGTTTACTAAGAATATATTCAACTGACAGTTAGGGGAAATACTTATACAACTGTTTTTTTCAAATAGATTAGTTTTAATAGTGTTTTTCTGGACTTACAAGACATATTTGTTCAGTTGAAATGTTGTAATCTTTATTTTCTTATTTTAAAGGGACATTAGCTGCAATAACGGCAATACTTAACTGAAACATTATTGACTTGCAAGAAAATAATTCGACCTCATTAAATCCATATGCATGCAACCTTTGATTTGATGTGTTCAGCAAGTTTGTTATTGAAAAGAATGTCAGTTGAAAAAATGAAACTGCACGGCAACAATTTCGTCCTCTGTTTTGACAAGCAAAAAAAATATTACACTCTATCAACTTTTAAATTGTATGGCTAATTGAAATAAAAGTGTTTGAAAAGATTTTTGAAAATAATACCCAAATGACGAAAACAATGTCAATTGATGCTATTAGTTCACATGAATAGTATGAAAAACAATAAAGATAGACATGTAAAAAGTATAATTTTACTATCCACAGACATGACAGAAAGATACATTAATACAAATAATGCTTACAACATATACATGGGGTATTGCTCAAAGCATAACAATAGTCTTTGACCAATAAAAATGATCTAAACAGAAATAGCTATACTATCAAATATGATAACCGTGATTTTGAATGAAAATAAAAATTCAAGTCTGTTCTTTACAAAAGTATATATTAGTTCTGACTATAAACAAGTCCATGAATGAGTAAGTTTAGATTTCTTAATAAGTCTTATCATAGGGAACTGACAACATCCTGAAGTTATTCGTTTTCAAAGGAAGTCTAACTCCTTTCATTCAAAATTGTCCGATGGATAAGGAATGATTTCTGTAGGTATGATGCTGGATTTATCCTCTGTCTCTGTATAAAGCTACACCACGGTGGTTAAATGAATACATGGACTGTCTACTACTTAACATGTCCCAAGATCTGCAAAAGTTTCAAAAACAAGAATTATTGGATGAGAAACTGTAGATTTCAGTACTTCAAAACTCGTAAGCCAAAAATTTGCTGCATTAAAATTTTGTTATCTATATTAATTTTTCATTCACTTCGAAACATATCCAAAGTGTCAAAATTTTAGTACTTGTAGAAAAGAAGACAAAAATACAATTGTACTTAATATTGTTTACCACAAAATTTACAATTTTCTCACTAACTACTGTGGATTCATTTATTTTCGTTGGTACCAATTTTCGTGGATTGAGGAAAACTTTCAATTTTGTGAATATTTGATTTTGTGGTTTTGAAAAGTCTACATACATTCTTATAGAAAATTTGTAATTCGTTGGACATTGAAATTCGTGGTTCCAAAGTAACCATGAAATCCACAAAAATTGGTATCCAATGAATAATAATGAATCCACAGTAGTTTGTTTACATAAAAACATATGTATCCCTGACCTTGGTCTATCACTTCTAGTAAAAAGGATGGTACAAGTACATGTAGTCGGCTAAATAAACATGATAAATTGAATATGCATCAGTATACATGTATGTGATGGCAATGTACAGCTAGTAAACAAATTTCCCTGATAAAGTTGATATGGTGGAAATACATGGAATTTCATTCAAATATGAAGTCTAGTATCTGTATGAGAAATGTATTGCTCCTAAAGTGTCAGTTCCAAGGTGGGAATTGCCATTATGCTAGAGAATATATAAATGGCTTGGCAACAAGAAAATTAGACAATTATAGACATTCATTGCATGTATCTAAGTCTGTTGAGAAATCTATATATAGCTTATTGATGTTGATATTTTCTATTGTAATCTGTTTTAATAGCATTTACTCTTCAAATATATTTATATGGTATGGATTCCTTTATATCTTTGTTAAAGATGTATTGTCTTCCATATTCATACTAATATCAGCACTAATGGAGTTGCATTTTTGTAAAGAAAAAAAAATTAATATTTGATAATCAGAAAACCAAATTTCTGGATACAAACTTTTGTTTACATGTGCCCTTAAATCATTGAATAATCAACTGTATGCATGTAAAACACAAACTTGTGCTTATATATAATTATATCATTGTACATTAAGGCAACATACATGTATCCTGATGTTTTTTTTCATTTTAAAAGTTCCTTACTAAATAGTGATATTACTATTTGAACCATTTCTCTGTTCCACAAACATGATAAAGGCATATACGACAAATTTGCATTTCATTTTTCCTAAATTTAAAGGTTAAGGGTTTGATAGGCTGTGGGTTTATATAAGGACAAATACATTGATAAATACTTACTCCTTAAGAAAAAAATTGAAAATGGACATTTTTTTCTATAAAACTATGGAGAATTCAACATTTTACTTACTTATTATCAAGGTCAGCATTTGCTCTAATTTCTTTAAAGATTCCAGATATGTGAACAACACCATAACAGGTCAAAATTAAACCAACAAAACACTGTAAAATTATCTGAAAATAAAAAACTTCAAATAAGGTCCAAAAATATATATGTCTTGTTTATTTTGTCTTCTGTCATAAAAGAATAACATGCATGAATAGGCAGTCAGGGGACTTACTTAAATGAATGATTTCTAAATCACTGATTCAAGTAACATTTTGTCCACAAATGTTGGAAGTAAGAGTTGTCTTTCTTTAATAATCACCTATTTAAGTAGTACAAATAAATCACTAGACTAAGTGATTTAATTTTATTGTATCTTTAAATATACAATACTAATGATCCAGGGACTAATTATGTTGCTAAAATTATCAGAACCAACATCTGTGTTGATAGGATGACCGGTCATGTCAGGTGATGACCTTGTACTGAATCTGGGATAATGACAATGAAAATCACTTAAGTATCATACCTTTATTTTGTTCCATTAAAATCACTTCTTTAAGTATTATTATTTTAATTACCCCCACTAATTTCAACACCCCCGAACAGTGAAATTTTGATCGGGAACAGTTAAATTTTATTACATAATCTGTAAGATGAAACCTTGGAAGTTTACAGGAAAAATAATCCCACTGTTGCGAAAAATCTGTTAAGAAAGTATCAGTTCATTATGTAAAGCCTTCATTATAGCATTTTTTCAACAAATATAGAATTTACAGCTAAATGGTTGCATCAAAGGCATAAACCTTGCTACTTAAAAGAAGCAAAAGGTTCATTTTTTTCAATTTTACTATAATAATAAGATATAATCTAAACTTATATGTTTAAAATTTTGGTAAAACTACGAAATCACAATTTGTGACAAAATTTCGAATTTGCTACTTAAACAAGTGATTTTATTTCAGTAATTCCCCTGACTGACATGACTGATAGGGCTGGTAAAAAAAATTTTGATTTACTATTTTTTTTCTGTATCTCCATATAAATCATGAAAAATCACATGGTTTTCCATGTCTGCATTAGATTTACAATTTACATCCTCTGTATAGAAATTATAAACAATAGTCCTGCATCTTCTAGGACATTAATCATTGTTAATGTAGCATAGAAATAGTATTGAATTTATTTCTGTTGATTTCTTTAACATATTGTTTGGCCCGCCCACTTATTCACTGATAAAAGCTGTATTGTGCAACACCATTGGTGTCCTCTAAATTTTTAGATTTCAAATATTTTGGCTAATTTGTGTTGACTGTTTGCATTCTCAATGGCATTTACAGTTCCAAATATATCTTTTAACATTATTTAACAAATACTCAATATCATAAAATACAGCCCATTTCTTATCTATGTACATCATTGTTAAATGAATCTGATATTAAATTGAATTATGAGGTATTATATCTATTTCTCATTTTTTGTAAAAATGATTATATACATGATATATAAACTGTTGCTTCTCTGAAAAAGGCTTGGACTGTTGCAGGACATATAAGATTTTTTTCTTTGTGCACATGGGTCAGTTTGACTTAAAATTTTTGAAACAGTTTACAATGTTGTATTAACCAATAAAATGTGTAGCAACAAATTTAATAAGCTGTAATAACTACTTTATTTACAGTAAACAAGTTGTCTATATTTTTTTTTTCATATTTCATCTATCATGTCTATGATCTATCTTAAGTGACAAGTGCTATCATGACTATAAATACAATGTGCATGTACACATTTAACTTACATCTAAAGGTAAACTAGTGAATTCTTGTTCTGTCAGTCGTAAATATGTGCGATCTAAAATGAAGAAGTTTAAATTAATTATCTACATTTGTTTGTACATAATAAATTGTTGTGTAACAATCTTTGTTTATAATTTTGATACAACATGTACATGATGTAGTATAACACAAATGTTGAAATTTAAATGACAACAATTTAACATGAAATCAATGCAAACCTTTAAAAATAAATTAAAATGGCTGAGGATGTAGGGAAAATAATCTCCAAAGTACACTTAAAAACAAAAAACACTTATTCTGCATTCCTTATGAACTAAAGAGGACACACTATAAAAATGGTTAATTAATAATTGTTTTACAATGTAAGCTTAGAATAACGATTCCATCAAACAATTTTTAAGCGAAATGTCTGAAAGACTCCCTTTTGGGTTTTAAAAAAAGTAAGTTGTCTTGAAAATTGTAAATTTTTAGAACTTTTCATAGACTTGAAACTTCTCAGGTAAATCAGTTGAGGGCTTAGAAAGAAAAACGAAAGTAAATTTCTGGCAAAAATATTGACAAGAAGCATGATTTTAGCTACTTTTTTGATAGAGGAGGGATAAATCTGATGATAACAGCCTACAGGACTCAGCTAGTGTTATCAGGACATGTTCCACGGACACAAGGGTTCATGAAATGGCACGTCCAGGACACCAATACGTGCCTTAACAAGACCCCTGAAGTATAAAATGTGTATTAAAAAAAACAACATTTCAATTATAAAATGCGTTATTAAAAAAATAGTTTTTCAACACTAGAAAAGCATCCCTCATCCACAGGGGCTTGTTTAGTGGACCAGACAAGGTTTTACTGTCAGTGGTGGTCGCTTATAATCCTATATAGGGACTATTACTCAACTGGGGAACTATTCCCCATCTGATGGATTGTCCAGACCTGCCAACTATCCCGATTTAAGGGGATATCCCCTATGAGAGGTGTTGACCTGAATTTTGAAATTCTTTATTATACATTGTACAAACAGAACACCTCAAAACAGGCATTCAAATGAGTTTTAAAGTTATTTAAGCACACATATGTAAGAGACAGATTGATGTCCAAATCTGACATCACAATAAAAGATTCCAAATCGACGGCCAATTTTATACCCCTCTAATGGACGTCCAATTTTTGGCTTCTCTAATCGACATCCATTTTATGGATTTGCCGCAATGACGTCATAACTTTATCAAATGACCGATGTATACAGGTGGTAATATCAGATTTTAAATTTAAGAGATTATATAAAAATAAGTAGATGTGGTATGATTGCCAATGGGACAACTTTCCACTAGAGTTCAAATGACAAATGAATGAGGTGGATGTAAGCAATTATAGGAAACCGTATGGCTTTTAACAATGATAAAAACCCATACAGTAAAGTCGTCTATAAAAGTCCACGACATGAAAAATGTAAACAATTCAAACTAGAAAACTTACGGTCATATTTATAACAAAACAATTCCAAAAAACAAAAATGACAGCCATAAACCAACGACAACACTGGACTACAGGCACATAAAGAATTTGGCAGGGTTTAACATGTTCGTGAGCGCTTAACTCTCCCCTAACCTGGAACAGTGGTGTAACAGCAAAACATAAAAACATAATGCTAATTTCTTTTGTATATGTTTCACTCCAGGAGTAAAACTCAGAAATTTGTTGAAAAATATCTTACAGAGTCCGAATTATAATAGTTTCAAAACAGTTGGATGTACTTCTTTATTTTGTCCATTGTTGAAGACTGAATGATGCCCTCTATATGTCGTTTGGTTTTCTTTGTCGTTGGGTTGTTTTCTCATTGACGTATACTCATATGTCATTTATCGATATGAATATGAATGACATTCGACAGCATAGATCGATTGGATTTTTGTCTATCAAGATAAATATTAATATACATGTATACATTGTATGTTATAAGATGTCGGTTATTTATCGATGTTAGTCCTTTTATTTTATTTTGTTGATTCTTTGGGAAGAGATGTAACTGACTGTGTTGTTCCTTCTGTTCTCATACGTCTATTAAGTCATTACGATTTGTAATGTATAAACATGATAAAGACGATAAGTTCTTAAAACAGCTTTACATAAAGACCAAACAATACAGATGATATAAATAGAGATCAATCTAATAACAATAATGCTGTGTCGGATAGAAATTGACCGTATACAAATGAATATCCATACATCTGTTACCTATTTCGGGTTGAAAAATCTCTAAGGAAAGTCTGTAACTGCTTGAAAATTGGGTTGTTATAAAAAAACAAACAGACCAAAATTCATCTTTTATTTTGTATTTGAGTGTTCCAAAATCAATCAAAGTCTTATACATCTACATGTATACGTGCAATAATGTTTTATTTATTGATATTGGACATCGATTAGAGAAACTACAATCGATCAGATGTCGTTTTCACCATACATGAATTGGATATCGATTAAAGGATAAAAATATTGGACACTGATTTGAGAATGTGACGTCAGATTTGGATGTCGATTTGAGACCGGACATCGATCTGAGTCTAACATATATACTCATTCAAACATTATAGTAGTACATTGAGAACACTTATGACAATATTAGAGGAGCATAAGGTCCTCTTGCGCTTAAAATCCCCCATGGAAATTTTGAAAAGTTGGCAGGTATGATTGTCCCGAACCTGTTAGCGAAATAAGGCTAACATACACCAAATTATAGCCTTTGGGAGCTCACTAAGTAGCAACTGTCTCTCTTATTATCGATAATGTTAAAAGTAAAACAAGTTCTCAAACACATCTAAACTAGTAAAGGTTTGTTAACAAAAGACAAAGAAAAAACAACTATGAAAATTATATAAAAAAAATATATTCACGAATTCAATGACAATTTCTAACTGAACAGAATCATAACATTGACCAACTACAAGTGTTTGTCACCGACACTCGCTTTGAATAGACTTACGTTGTGCGGCAGAATATGCCGCATGGGCCATCGCTAGAAGGCCTAGCATAATACAAAACTTGCTGAAATTCATTTCATTTTTTACAAACGGAAGTCCATGTGAGGTGCCAAAAATGAGATGCAAACTTTCAACAAATTACCAAAAAGGCATCATATAGTAATGAACTACAATGAACAAAAATGGTCTTAAAAAAAATAATGCATGTAAATATCGCAAAAAATGAGATTTTTTGAAAACCTATTTCAGGACAAGAACAAAATGTTATATGTTATTGTTACTGAAATCTCTGTTTGGTTGTTGTAGATACTCGTCTGCCCTGATTACATGTTCGCCCTGGGTCCCGTTCGCCTATAGAGTCCGTTCGCCGTGGGTTAGTTCGCCCTACTTTTAAAAAAACTTAATATGGTGGTATAAGGTTTAATAAACATATTCAGATATTTATATGATCAATATTAGAGAAAATATTTATACTCGAAATGAAATATCTAAAAATTAATGGCTTGTTTTTGAGCATTAATGGGCTTCATTCTTACATTTGTTTGATTTAGAATTAATTTTAATGGCTGTTGATTGTAATTTAGAATGCTGGTTAGGTATAATTATGATGTCTATGAGCTAACTTATTTTTGTATTAATTGTCTTTGTTTGATTAATAATGAAAGTATTATTTTTTTTAAATAAAGTAGTCAGCTTGGAATGAGTAAAAACAACGATTTATGAATTATAAATTTAAGACATACAAGGGATTTTGTTTCGCACACAGCTTGGGTTCTTTGATCTCAAGTTCGTTTTGACAAATTTACTATATATGTGCTCTTGAAAATAATAGTGTAAAAAATTAAGGATATAACTGGTGTTTGATGCGAAGTTCGAATTGAATCTTGTTATAACTGTTACTGATTGTTTTAAAATTGTTAAAATTTATCAATAAAGATAAATGCATGCAGATAATATGGTCTTCGGTGGTTTTATATTAAATACATTGTATTCCTGGTACTCTACAGTGCAGATCAAAAGAAAATATTTTTTTGGTAGCAGCAATTCAACATAAATATTCGGCGAAATTTTCAACAAAATTTAACATATTCTTTTCAAATAATGAGCGTTATACAACAAAACAACAAAATAAAATAACTAGAGGCTCTCAAGAGCCTGTGGCGCTCACCTGATTCTACTTTGGTTTTGGAAATCATGAAAAAATAGATTAAAATCATAACAGATACCCTAATAATGAGTGAGGCCAAATTTGGTTTAATATTGGTCCTGTAATTTAATAAAAAATCCTAGTGGCCATCTTGAACAGTAAATCGGCAACAAAGTAGCAACACTTAATCAGCACCTCATAAGAAACATTTATGCCATGTTTTGGTTTCATTCCATTCAGTGCACCTCTAGAAGAAGCATTTGTATGTATTTCTTATGTTAAAGGAAGTCCCCCCATTGGCGGCCATCATGGATGAAGGATCAGCTTCAAAGTAAAAAAAACTTAGTCATCACCTCATAAGGAACATTCATGCCATGTTTGGTTTCAATCCATTCAGTATGTGGTTCTCTAAAAGAAGACATTTGTATGTATTGTCCATAGGGTCCTTTGTTAAACATTGTCCCATTCTGGCAGCCATCATGGATGAAGGATCAGCTTCAAAGTAACAACACTTGGTCAGCACCTCAAAAGGAACATTCTTGCCATGTTTGGTTTCATTCCATTCAGTGGTTCTCTAAAAGAAGACGTTTGTATGTATTTCCCATAGGGTCCCATGTTAAACTAAGTCCCCCTGCAGGCGGCCATCTTGGATAATGGATCGGCTTCAAAGTAACAACACTCGGTCAGCACCTCATAAGAAACATTCATGCCATGTTTGGTTTCATTCCATTCAGTGGTTCTCTAAAAGAAGACATTTGTATGTATTTCCCATAGGGTCCAATGTTAAACTAAGTCCCCTGCTGGCGGCCATCTTGGATTATGGATCAGCTTCATAGTAACAACAATTGGTCAGCACCTCATAAGGAACATTCATGCTATGTTTGGTTTCATTCCATTCAGTGTTTCTCTAAAAGAAGACATTTGTATGTATTTCTCATAGGGTCCCATGTTAAACTAAGTCCCCTGCAGGCGGCCATCTTGGATTATGGATCGGCTTCAAAGTAACAACACTCGGTCAGCACCTCATAAGAAACATTCATGCCATGTTTGGTTTCATTCCATTCATAGGTTCTCTAAAAGAAGACATTTGTATGTATTTCCCATAGGGTCCAATGTTAAACTAAGTCCCCTGCTGGCGGCCATCTTGGATTATGGATCAGCTTCATAGTAACAACAATTGGTCAGCACCTCATAAGGAACATTCATGCCATGTTTGGTTTCATTCCAATCAGTGGTTCTCTAAAAGAAGACATTTGTATGTATTTCCCATAGGGTCCTATGTTAAACTAAGTCCCCCGCTGGTGGCCATCTTGGATGATGGATCCGCTACAAAGTAACAACACTTGGTCAGCACCTCATAAGGAACATTCATGCCATGTTTGGTTTCATTCCATTCAGTGGTTCTCTAGAAGAAGTTCAAAATGTAAAAAGTTAACGCCGACGACGGACGACGACGGACGACGACGGACGACGGACGCCAAGTTATGAGAAAAGCTTACTTGGCCGTCGGGCCAGGTGAGCTAAAAACCAGAGCGAACGGACCCAGGGCAAACAGGTATAAGGGCGAACGGACCCAAGGCGAACAGGTATTAGGGCGAACAGGTACTAGGGCGAACGCGAATCAGGGCGAACGGACCCGGATTCTATTTTATGTAGCCTAGGTGGTCCCGTGGTATAGGGCGCTGTACACGGTGCAGATGGTGTTGCCACGATGTCAAAGAAGCAAGGGTCCGAATCCCGCGGAGGGAAGAACAAAAATTTGCTAACGCAAATTTGAAGATCTAACATTGTTGGGCTAAATTTGAGACGACTTATATTTATATATATCGACGTAAAACACTGCTCGGCTTTAAATAATAAAATATAAAATACTTCTTCATTAATTACAGTTTATTAGTAACATTTGTATACATCAAAAGAAGTTATGATGCTGCAAGCTCAATGGTTTGAACTGGGAGGTTAACTATCATCTTCATAACACAGTATAGTGTGGCAAAATATCCACGCTCACTGTCACACAAGTTGAAAGTGGGTTGGGAATTAAACGATCCACGTTTACTATAATAAAACATTTAGTAAATGGTGTCAGGTACTTATTTTTGTCAGTAAAGTGTGGCGAAACCCACGCTTATTGATGTTATCGTGTAGTGGTCGATACTGTAGACCCTCAGTAGAGTGTGGTGTAACCCACGGTTACTATAATAAAACAGTTAGTAAATAGTGTCATGTGTCACCAAGGTAGAACATATTTGCATAATTTATCAGATTTTCATATCATGGATATTATATTCCGGAATAAATTACATAGTGAAATTGTTTCCTTTTTTCTTAATTTTTTTAAATATGAAAGGATGACATTAATTAAAAATTAATAAGACAGAAAATATTTCACAGGTAAATACTATCCAGCTGTTTAAATTGTTTTTGTTCCTATAAGAAGAAGAAGATGTTTTATTTTCCATTAAATGGGCTCACAAGGAGCATAATAAAATATAAGACATAAATAAGACAATAACAACAAAAAAAAACCAAACAACAATAGTCTAGTATACATACAAAGAAAAAGCAGTTTGGACATAAATGAACTACACACATATACATCTTGATGTGGTTTGATTCATCTGATTTTGTTACATTTTCAACAACTACATTACAAATCAAACTGAATTCTCACTTGATCCAATGCGATTTCACTTACCATATTTTCTTTTTGATCAGGATATTTCTTCACAATTAAGATCTGTGAAATTATTTCTGGTTTTGTTACATATGGGTCATTTTCAAAAAATGTCAAATTTTGATATTGCAAAATTGAATAGAAGTTGCTAATTTAAACCACCCTCTTCAGTCCTTAAACAAATCAAAACAAACAATACTTATGGAACAACATATAAAAAGATGCAATTTTGATATTATCATATAGGAATATATGGAAACATTTTTTGATAGGTGGTGCAATATTTTGTCTCTCCTGTTACTATGTTCAAAAGATATTTTGAGTTATTTAGAGAAGATTTCGATAAAAAAAAATTATGGTCAATAAGATAGTTTTCAAGAGTAAAAACTTTTATAAATTTAAATCCGTGTAATGATAGATTATTTATAATTTTTCCATATTGTACTGAAAAATTCCTCTAAAAAATGGTTTTCAAAGGTTATAAAAATAACCACCGGCAACGCTAGTCTAAGAAAGCAATTCATAATGTTCAGCATTTTTCCCTCTTTTTAATAAACCCAACATCAAGTAATTCCCTCGCATGTTGGTTTACTTTTGTCGTTTTGTTTTTGGTAACAGGAACGTACGTTAACGGTATATCACCATATTAAGTTCTATCCTGTTATCCTTTTTGTCTATCCTGTTACCGACAACAGTATTGCATTTTGTATATGCTAAATTGCGAAGATTAAAACGTTGTAACCTTTAAATGATATCAAACAACCAAACATTTCATTATGTGTAAAATTTTATGTAATTATATACTTTTTAAAGACGTTTTAGTCAAATATTGTCTTTCCTCTTACTGTAACCATAGTAATTTTTCGTTATAGTTATCATTAACATTTTAAAACGATTCTCTTTGCAGATATCAAGGCAATCAGAAAAAAGGAAAACAATTAGTTGAAATGTGTTACCCTGACACTGTACGCACATACATTACGCAGAAATCGGACTTAAATATGTTTCCCGTTTGAATGGTTTTACACTAGTAATTTTTGGGGCCCTTTATAGCTTGCTGTTCGGTGTGAGCCAAGGCTCCGTGTGGAAGACCGTACTTTGACCTACAATGGTTTACTTTTATAAATTTTGACTTGGATGGAGAGTTGTCTCATTGGCACTCATCTTAGCAAAATAGATATAAACCGTGTTTATTATTGATGTTCCGACTCATAAATCCTGCAAACTTTCATTTAAGCACTTACAACTGTCTTTTGCATGAAAAATAAAGATTTTAACATAGGTGTACTGAATATTCGACATTTTTTGAAAATGCTCATATGTTTCATGATAATTGTTTTCCTTTTTATATTGTGATTATGAAATAGAAAATTTGTCTTTCAAACGAACGATATTTTTCTGAAAAATTATTTCAGGATATTATTTTTTGATTAACATTTGTGATATTATTTCCGATTACAATACATTTCTTTGGGGTTTTTAATCACTAATTAAGCTTTTATTTAATTACTCCATTATTAGTCCATAGTATATTTGCAAAGATTTACTTTTTTTTTATAAACTTTTCGAAATTTTAATAGTTAACAAAACTGACTACTTTGGCAGAAAACAACAATTTCACAACTTCTACTATTTGTAAAACTTTCCGGAAGTTTTTTTTATTGTAATGGAAAATATCTCACAGTGAAATAATTTCCTCCGGAAAAAAATCTTACAGTATCATCTGTAATATTTTTTCCGCCAGATGAAATTTCATCCGGATAGAATTTTGCTTTACAATTATACTTGAATCAATTAGCATCTGTATTGTCTATTTCTCTGCTTTTCTGTTGATAATGATTACAGAGCTTTTGCAGTAGCTGTTGAATATTCTGTTAGATTTTATTTCTCTGATCCGATAGTGCAGGACATGGTAATAAAAAGTGCCCCATAGTTTCGTTGGACGTTTGACACAATGGACACGTTGTCAATATTCCTTTATTTTTCGAATACCTTATCCTGACAGTCATGAGCATGTAGCTTCCTGTCGCTATATTCTTAATTTTACAGGTATCCTGTGTGCTTATATCATGGAGCTACTAGCAAATAAATTTACTAGCATATGTGTTTTTCCCGGTATAAATTGACTATTTAAAATAGCTTACATTTATTATAACAATATGATGTGTAGGGCTGTATAAAGTACACAATGAGTGAAGTTGTTCTTTGCAATCTAAACATTCTATCAATTTCTCTGCATGGCATATACATACTAATTATTCTTATAAGAATGTCTTTATCACATGTGTTTGATAGTTCAATACATTGAATTCTATTATTTGTACATTCTACTTCAGTAATTATGTGATCAATACTCTTTTCCCTTAATATACAGACTCCACCATACCCTCTCGGTACGTGGGAAGGGTGGCAGCGGATCATCAGAATCAACTGCTTTTCCAACACCGTTAAAATCAATATGGACATCATTTAAGAATGGCAATTGACAGTCAAATAACCAATGTTCCTAAAACACTGGTTTAGGCATTTCGGTGGGTCTGTTTATAAGTGGGTAGCCATGAACATGCCTCATTCTTTCTTATGAATTTGAAGGACCTGACGTACACACATTTGGGTTGTTCAGATCAGGAGAAGACTGATGTTGTAAATGTGGCGTTACCTCAATTCTTCTGGAGCCAAGTATATAATATTGCGATTGTGCTGGTGGCAAGGAATGATGATGATACTGAGGCGCCTGATGTGTGGCATTAATTACCAAAGGAATAGACCCAGAATTACTAAAAGTGTCTCTGTGCTCTGTGTTTGTACCAGTATATATTTATCTCTTTGAATAGGTCTCATCAGTATTACTGTTCGGTGTTGTATTATTAGTAATTGTTGACTGTACAGGCATTTGTTCTCTATCAAGTTGGTCTATTTGAGCGTCCACTTTCTGCAGAATTAACTTAGTCATTCTTTCACGCATGGCTATTAATAGATTATCTGCTTCTGTTACACACTTATGGTGGCAGCAGTCTTTTGCTTGTGAGTTGCAAATATTTGCTTTATTGGATTCAGAACCAATATCTTCAAGGACAACTTTTTTTCTTTTAAGAATTCTTATTGTGTTTTCCATTTCTGTTATTTTAGTTTCTTGCATAAGACTTGAGGATTTGAGGCGCATATTTTCAGCGTTGAGCTCTGAACTTCTCATTTCTCTTAATCTGATGTCATCTTCTTTCTTTTTCAATTTTAGCTCTAGCTGCCTTTAGTCTTTAAATTTTAATTCTGCACCATCACTAACTTTGCTCTGATTTATACAAGTATCGTCTGTTTTGTTATTTATTATTATTCTTCGTTACGAAATTGTACTGTGTTGTGTCTTGTTCAATGTATGTAAACTTTTCTTCTTCCTTGTATTTAGAAGTAGTAATAGTAATTTTCCGATATGAGTTCGGCTCAAGTTTTGGTTTTCCATTTTTTTTAAACAGGACAAGCAATGCCACCTTTCAATAAAGTTGGAATATGTAAATACTTAAAAATAGAATTTACGAAAAAAAAAGTCAAAAATTTATAGTTACCATAATAGGTACACCATATTTCAAGTGTTCGGCTGCTATATTTTCTTCATCTGCAGATTTTATTATTTTTCATAGATGCTAAAATATCCTTCATTTCATCTTCTGTTAATACAGGTGAAATATTTTCTATTTTATTTTCAGTAAATGTTTTCGTTAAATGGTTTATATCATTTTTCACCAAATTAAAGTGTTCTTTATCCGGCAAAGTTTTCAGAGTCCGTAGGAGTCGCTAAGTCTTGAAAATATTCCGCCCATGCATCACGGATCAAGTTATCGTTATTTAAAGAAACATCATTAAAAGTAAGCGCAGAAGTTGTAGTATTTGCTGGATCTCGTTGTTTTCTTACTAAAGAATAAAAACCGGCATCATTTCTTTCATGAAGTTCCATAACTTTCTGATACTTATTATAAAATTCTTAAGCTTGCCCCAAGTTGTCTTTGCATTGATCTAAGCAGGGACAGCCTATACCAGTTAGTATAGACTGTCCCTGATCTAAGTTTCTGTTTATAAAATTTAATATTTTGAAATAAAATGTTATTGTTATCGCGGGTTGGTCTACCAGTTGCTTTCCATTTTGCAAAATGATCTCTATTTATATTAGCTATAAAAGTCAAATAATTGTTAATGACACTTATGCTCTCTACAAAAAATAATCAATCTGAAAGGTGTCCCTTCCATTGCCAGTAATGATAAAAATGATAAAAGTCTTTCCACAAGACGATGGTATTACAGACCTATCTGTAAACTATGTGATATAGATACCGAAGATCGTTCTCATTTTTTACTTAAATGTAAAATACTTCAATGCATTAGAGAAAGATATCTCAACCAAATTGACGAGATTATTTCTGATTTCTTGAATTTTAGAATGAGGGACATACCAACTGATGACCAAATACAAATTATCTTGGATTGCACCGTGTTACTTTCCCGGTATACAAGTGATAACAAATTATTCCAAAGAATAGAAGATATTTGAAGACAGTTGATATATGCTCTTCACGTGGCTAGGTATAGAACGTTAGACATTAAGAAGAGATAAGTGTAATTTTATAACAGAGAAATAAGTATATTGCTAGTGTGTCGTGAACATTTAGTGCTAATTTCACCCTGATGACTATAGTGTATATATGGTGTATATAAATATGGTGATGGATTTCATTATGGTGACGGATTACTGTACATACAGATGACAGAACACTGCTCATTTGAGGTTGTCCCAACGTAGACGGAAGAAGATTACCAGAAGAAGGATTGCATGATGAAAGGTTATTTTGCTTTATAAAATCTCTAAAAACTTTATCTTGTTTATAATCTCTAAAAATTGAGCCGCATTCATGTCCCCACCTATCAAATAACTAAATACGTTGATAATAATATTTTGTATAAATCTCAGATATACTAAATACGTTGAAATATTTTGTATAAATCTCAGATAGCTCATGATAATACTGGTTTGAAAAGTTGTGTAATTTTAGAACTTATCCGGATATGAATAAAAGGTGTATACAGTTCGAGTTTTATCATGAAAAACTCAATCACATCATTTTTTTTTGGAAACCATAAGCAACCTGGGATTCCGGTTCATCGACATACCATTAAACAAAACCTGGGACGATATGTATACCTGTCAGTGGCTGTCATACACAGTGGCTACCACGTAGAAGTGCATAACTTCTGTTGGTCTTCAGTTAAATCTTGTTGTCGTAAAATATCTTTTCGGATGACTTGTTATAAGAAATGGAAAAGTCCGAGATCCTCCGATAACTATAATCAAATTATGCAAAAACTTGTGAATATATAAAAAAAAATATAAATAAGACAGTCAAAGATGAAAGGTAGTTTATCAGTCGCCATTGTACATTCAATAACACCTTTTTTGAGATAAATTTTCGTATGTTTGACCACTGGCATCTATTAAAATCTTAACTCCCATAAAACCAGGACTCAGGAGGCTGCTGTGGAACACTTAGTAATGAAATAAAATAAGTCATTATTTTGCAACGCAAAAACATTCTTAATAGTAAAAAAGGTATATGAAGGACTAAACTATAATCAAACTATTCAAAGGTACACTCACCAAGTTTTAAAGATAAAATCAAAAGTATTTCTTTTTAGTGTGTATATATTATTTTATTTTACTTATTTTTAATGCACCAATCAAATTGTTTTTATGAAGGCACTGGCTACGATTACCCACAAAAAGTAGCAATAAGAAATAATTATTGTTACCTCCAAGACTAATTGCAGAATAGACGTATTTACACTTGTATGCAAATTTCTCTGCCATTACTTAAAATCACACTTCCCGTAGTAAATTTTGACATCAAAATTTTAAAAAATTGACGTCATAATTCAAAAGTGATTGTTGCTTTGACATCAGAAGGTTATTCAGAGACAGATCTAAGGTCATTTGGAGACAAAATTCAGCTAAATACCAAAAGTGTAAGTACATTTAGTGTATTTCCGTAAAGGGGCCCAATTTGATATGGAAATTGCAGGTAACAATATCATTTTTATTGTTACCTGCAGTTATTGTTACCCACCAAAATTTTACATTTGCAAATTATGTCTTTTTATGTATAGCATCGGGATACTTTAAATGGTCTTCGTGTCATTGCCTGTTTAAGTTGAGATTTACATTATGAACAAATTCATAAATGCATGTATATTTCAATTCAGAATGAATTTTATCTTTATTTCTGATCCTTTTTAGTTTTTGACTTTGCTCATATTTTACAAGAACTTCTTTTATATACCTGCACAAAATTCATGAAATTTGCATCTCGGAATTGTTGAAATTTATCATTAAAATTATGAAAGGACATTAACTTTTCACTGACTACAAATTGAGCATCTTGCTCATTTGAATGATCAGAATCCATACTTTAAGAGAACCTGTAAATAGCAAAATGATCAACAAAATCTACTAATAAATCAACATGACTGAAATCATCAGTCAACTCCTTAAGGTAGATTCATGGTATACCGCCATCTTGGATTGTACAATCTCAGTACAAAATTGGTCTAGTTATTTGCCCAAATCTGCAAATTTGGAGACAGATTTGCAATTCAATGGTTAGATTGTTTATTTATATAAAGAAAACTTGGTGATTTATTGTATTATTCAAAATATTTAAACAAATATCAAATTTTGTGTTTTTAGAATCATTTTTTTCAAATAAGCCATTTAAGGGGAGATAAATCTTTTAGTAAAAAATATATACTGGACTGATAGGGAAATTTTTTATTTTTACTTGTAGCAAGAAAACATGTTCGGTGACACCATTTTTTCTTTTTATTTTTTTAAAACATATTATAAAACCTACCTTCTTACAATTTATTTCAAAATTCTATCTCATAGAATTTTTTTTATGCACACAAATGTGTTTTTTCATGAACAATCTAACCAAATTTAGGCAATTTTCAACGACTCATAGCTTGGAAAATAGCACGGTGACCCATACTTTTTATTATATTTTTGAAAAAAGCATAGTGAAATCTTCCTTTTGGCAAAGTATAAGAAAATTCTATCTCAAAAAGTATATACTTATGATCTACCTTAAAGAAGTTACCCACTGTTCCCATGAATTTGGATTTTACCCATTTTTATGTTTTTTGCAGAAACTATATATATATTAGATAGAGAGTAACTGTAAATAGCAAAAAAGATCAGGGATCAGGAGGACAACATCTAATAATACGTCAACATGATCCATATCATCAGTTGACACCTCATACAATGTTATAGAAGTTGTTGTCCTTGAATGACAATTTTTACCCATTTTTATATGACTGCAAAAATTTTGCGGTCGTATATTGGTATCACGTCTTCGTTGTCCAAAGACACATTGGTTTCCAGACAATAACTTTTGTTTAAGTGTATGGATTTCTATGAAATTTTACCATAAGGTTTATGACCACAAAAGGAAGGTTGGGATTGATTTTGGGGGTTATGGTCCTAACAGTTCAGGAATTAGGGGCCAAAATGGGGCCCAAATAAGCATTTTTCTAGTTTCCAGACAATAACTTGTAAAATGGTGTATGGATCTCTCTGAAATTATACCACAAGTTACAATATCACAAAGGGATGGTAAGAATTTGCTTTGGGGGTTATGGCTCAAACTGTTTAGGAATTAGGGGCAAAAAAGGGGAAAAAACAAGGGTTTCCAGGTAAATGGACAATTACTTAAGTACAAAACATTATTTCAAAGCAGTGTAAGGGAGGTAATTCAAACACATATTGTCAAATTACCTCCCTTACACTGCTTGTAAATTATTTATAAAGAAATGTATTGTCTTTAGGTGATTAGCTGTCAATTTATTTTTAGAAGTTACTATTTTAAAAATGTTTAATAAAGGTAATTTAATTATAGCCATGATTATGTATGTGAAGGAATTTTATTTTTAGATATTACTATTTAATGTTGCTGATGGAGGCTTTTTAATTTTAGGCATGATTATGATGTCATTTTCTATTTTAAAAATTATTTAATTTTAGCAATGATTATGTATGTGAAGGAATTTTATTTTTAGATATTACTATTTAATGTTGCTGATGAAAGTGTTTTAATTTTAGGCATGATGATGATGTCATTTTTTATTTTAATACTTTTATGATGTATTTAAATGGGTTTTTATCATGTTTGTGGTTGCAAAGTCCTAGCTGTCAATTTATTTTTAGATATTACTTTTAAATGCTGATGAAGGAATTTTATTTTTAGATATTACTATTAAAAGTTGCTGATGAAGGTTTTTTAATTTTAGTCATGACTATGATGTCATTTTCTATTTTAATACTTTTATGATGTATTTAAATGGGCTTTTATGGTTTAAAAAAAGGCATTTTTCTAGTTTCCAGTCAGTAACTTGTGATTAAGTGTATGGATCTCTCTAAAATTATACTACAAGGTTTCATACTACAAAGGAAAGACTGCAATTGAGTTTGATAGTTAATGCTAAAAGGGGGGATTCAAAAAGTTTGGGGGGGAATGGGGTTTTCCAATTTTTTTTTAAAAGGGTTCAAATTTTTTTCTTCAAAATTTCAAATTTTTGAAAAGTTCCAAGAAGAAATCTTCAATTGCACAGTATTGCGCATTAGATTTGTAAGATCTTTGACCACATTTATTTTGTGTCAGAAACCTATATTATGTCAAAAATTTGATCACAATTCCGAATTCAGATAGTATCAAGCTTGAATATTGTGTCCAAATTTGCCCCAACTGTTCAGGGTTCGATCACTATGGTCGTATCAGACTGCGCTCAGCGAAGCATTTTATTTTTTTATGAAACTGTAATAGATAGACTATAAAGTCCAAAAATGATCTGTAAATGTCTAATAAGTCAATATGACTGAAATCATTAATTGTCTTCTTATTAGAGTTATTGCTATTGAATGATGATTTTTACCCATTTTTAGCTCACCTGAGCTTTTCTCATCACTTGGCACCGTCATCCTTCGTTGTTGGCGTCTGTCATCGTCTGTTAACTTTTACAAAAATATTCTCTTCTAAAACTACTGGGACAAATTTAACCAAACTTGGCCACAATCATCATTGGGGTATATAGTTTAAAAAATGTGTCCGATGACCCCGCCTGCCAACTAAGATGGCCGACATGGCTAAAAATAGAACATAGGGGTAAAATGCAAGTTTTGTCTAATATTTTGAAAACTGTTATAAATAGAGAAAACTGACAAAAGCAGAAATGTTCATGTTGAGCTCAACCAATTGTCCAAAAATGTCAAAAACTGTCAGACGACTTCTTATAGGAGTTATTGCCCTTAAATGACAAATTTATCTTTTTTTCATTTTTATACATTACCTTGAAAACTATAACAGATAGAGAGAAACTTTAAATGGCAAAAATGATCAGCAAGACAAGATCTACAATTAAGACAATTATAGATGAAATTGTCCGACGACTCCTTATTGGAGTAATTGCCCTTTAATAACCATTTTCACCATTTTTTGCATTTTGCCTTATATGATAAAAATATAATAGATAAATGGACACTTTAAATCACAAAAATGATCAGCAAGTCAAGATCTACTAAATATAACAAGTAAATTTTGCCGATATACTTAGTAGACTGTTTGTTTAAATGAGTGATTGCCCTTAAGTGAGGATTTTTTTTACCCTCTTCTCTGTTTTGAGAAAAAACTAAAGAAGATAGAGAGAAACTAAACAGACTAAACAGACTAAATGATCAGCAATACAAGATCAACAAAACAGAGATTTTTGTCATGAATTCTATTCTGGTCTACAATGTTGGAGAGTGTCCTTTGTTGAATATGCACATAGACCAAGGTGAGCGACACAGGCTCTTTAGAGCCTATAGTTTTGATAGAGAGAAATGGAAAATGGCAAAATGATCAGCATTAAATAAGATCTACAAATAAATCAACTTGAGCAAAATCATCATTTGACTTCTGATTATTGCCCTTAGATGATGATTTTTGCTTTTTCCCCAAGACACCAATGTTTTCTTTTTGCCAGAAACTTATATTCTTATTGAATGCGCGGATGATTTTTTAGTACAATAGGCCCCATTTCCAAACTCCCAAATCGTCGGAAATTAACAGTTGAGATCCAGATATTTTTAGGTCAGTTTCCATAAACATGCCCTAATATGTGTTTTCCATCTCTTCTTAAACCTGAAGCAGTGCAGAAACTCATTGCACACTTATTTGCCATAGCTTGACATATTCTTATTCATCACTGTTGTTATAGTTACTGATTATTACATGTAAGTGTGATTATATGAATGGCACTATGTGTCAAAATTGTAATCGCAAATTGGGCATTATGGAACAAAAGTGTTAAATTTAGGTATATATGAAAAATCTTTTCAGATACGAGTGCCTGTGGGGTCATTATACGACTGCAAAAAAAATTTTGAGGTCGTATATTGGTATGACGTTGGCGTCGTCGTTGTCGTCGACGTCTGAAGACACATTGGTTTTCGCACTCTAACTTTAGTTTAAGTGAATGGATCTCTATGAAATTTTACCATAAGGGTAAATACCACAAAAGGAAGGTTGGGATTGATTTTGGGGGTTATGGTACCAACAGTTAAGGAATTAGGGGCCAAAAAGGGGCCAGAAATAAGCATTTTTGTAACTTCCAGACATAACTTGTGTGTTAGTGTATGGATCTCTCAGACATTGTACTACAAGGTTCCATATCACAAAGGAAAAGCTGGAATTGAGTTTGGGGGTAATTGCCCAAAACGTTTCGGAATAAGGGGCCAAAGAGGGGCAAAAAATAAGCATTTTTCTAGTTTCCAGACAATAACTTGTGGTCAAGTGTATGGATCTCTCTGAAATTGTACTGCAAGGTACCATACCACAAAGGGAATGCTGGGATTGATTTTGGGGGTAATTGCCTCAAAATTTTTGGAATTAGGGGCAAAAAAGGGGCAAGAAACAAGCATTTTTCTAGTT